CAGATTGACATGGTATGTCAATGGGTGTCTTAATTTGACACCGCTGTGATTTATATACTTATCGTGCTTAGAATGTGCTCACCAATGTCGCGATCTTACGAGCGACTGAAGGAGACGTTTGGCGAATGAAGCGCTCGGTCACACCTTCTAAAAGCGACGGAAAGGAGCAGGAGGATGATGGATGTTGATTACCATATCTAGGCCTGATTAGATTATAATCGTCCCGTTGGGTATATCTATACGTGACTGTGACTGTCCGAAGGACTGAGGGCCCACTGATAACAGTTCCCGACATAAAACCTTCCGATCCCCTATTGTATGAAGACGATAGGTGAAAAAACACTTTCAAGTTGTACTATAGACATACCGAAAACATATCTATTAGTCCGATTTTCAATCTCTCCTCGTACAGGACGGCAATTTCGAAAACGCGAAAAGAGCGTCCGAAGGACCGGTTAAAGACTGTAGTCAATATTGTCACCAGTGAGTACTTGAGTACTGAACCCCAGTGAGAATCGACATGGTCTCTACTGTATTAGGTCGATTAGTACGGTATGCAGTAGGGAACCCCGAAATAATACGAACTTCCGTGCATATCCCCACTTCGGCTGTATGCGGTCGGATAAGGCTGTATGGTCGCACAATGCCATACGACCATACATCGGGTCAGTTTGTGTGTTATTGGGTGCGGCTGGTTACGCTCGGGTTGCACTCGGGTCTGGTTGGGCAGGGATGGTTGTTGTCGATATGTGTCATTGAATACAAATCAATTCATACTGTATACGGTCGTATGGGAACGTATGGCTACACGGTGCTATATACAGCTACAATCGAGAACTACAGAATAGAGCGGGAGCAGACTGGAAATGTTTGGATACGTGGAATACTGACAGGAGTAGCCTTTCATCCCACTGGCATGGGAGCCACCCACCTTGCGAGCCACTGAAACAGGTGGGAGGCCGATGCCTCCGACGTTCGACTTGAACGCGCCCGATTGCGAGACTGAGGATAATCTGAAGGTGGCCTCATCAGAAGGGTTCAGCAATGGGACTCAATAGCGGTGCTCCTCACGTACCGTCAACGAGGGAGCAACGCGTCCGAGTTTCTGCGAAGACAAATTAATCGAGCAGACACAGGAACAGAGTGCGGGCGATCTACCTGTGATACGAGGAACTCAGAGTCTTGTAGTGTGCCTCGAAGGCCTCCAGTGTGCCATGGGCATCCGTGTACCATTTGCGCGCATGAACCCACCTATTAGAGCGAGTGAACCCGGGACCTAGCACGGTGAGTGGATTTCCATGTACTTTGCACCCTTCAGGTCTGGTGCTGGAGGCCACCGCGTCGTCTTGCGAGGGGCGCGCGGCTTTTCTGACGCAGTTGTCTCCGAGGGCTTGTCAGGAAGCTATATCAAGAAGGAAGTACTTACGATATACGAGCCGACATCTTGATTGTAGGATGCTAAAGTTGCAAGGCATGGGATCAAGTGTTAAACATCAAAGTCTGAAAACCCTAGAGGAGACGGTTTGCACGCGAGGGGATAGAGATGGTAGGCGTAGTGAATAAAGAGACAAAATGTACCTTGAGCGAATCTGAACGTCGGCGCTTAAAGCGCATGATGTCATATTCTTACCCTCCTCACCGAGAAAGGAGATTGATGAAGAGAAAAGGGGGAAAATGTGGCAGAAGATGGGTATGAAATAACACTCCTCTTCACTGAGGAAGGAGCAATTGAAATGGAGAAGGAGAGGGAAGAATGGTGCGGAAAATGCAAATGTGCGATGTTGGTGCACGTACCAAAGAACTCCTCTGCGCATCCACCCAACACCTCCTCGCGTCCGACTCATCCTCATCCTCCCCCTCATCCCAAACCCCTTGAGTCTGGGGTCAAATGGGAAATATGGCATAACTGGGGGTGGAGAGCATAACAGCATCAGCGGGCGGGGGCAGTGGATCGAAGTGATTGTAGAAGTTTGTGGGCTGGGTAGTAGGAGCGAACAGCCGCATGCACAGACACCTGGGGTGGCTGGCCCAAAGGGCACATGCAATGGTTTGTGAGCACAAGCTAAAGGTGTACATAGACTTTAGAGACACGTTAGAGACAAGCGAGAGATACGTCGACGTCACCGGTGTCAGGACATGCACGTCTGATCCAGTCACCATAAGGTCAGTTAGAGACAGTGTTTGAGCGTCTGAAATCGTCCGCCCAATATGAACCGAGACTTTCCGACCTCAACCGCTCTGACACGACTTTCGCCGACGTAAACCAGCGGAACCCATGTAGGTTCTCACTGGGACTGAACCTGCACGTGTCTGTTGGAATCCTGGCGTCAAGATGGCGAGCTCGCGGAACGAGCGCCACAGGTCCCCCCCCCCAACGGATACCCGCGCCCTTATCTACCCCTATTTAGCTACGTATATAAGCCTTATTGTATCTACTGTGTACGGCACGCGTTTGCACCGGCCAAACGCGAATCCCATTTGTGCCCGCTTGCCCTCGAACTTCTTCAGTGTCCACTAAACACGCTCGCCTTCAACTGCGGTGCAGGCAATGTTCTTCATGATTGCCTCTATAAACTCAATAGTGATGCTCGAGATATTGCCGTGTTCAAGCAGTCGTGCACGTTCTGGGAGAATTGCAAACGTCCGGAGTCGCATAAGTAAAGCCGAAAGACGTTGGGAACCCATGCCATGCATGTAATATCCGAGGCTAGCGAAGGGCTTCTGCAACTGTAACGCGATAAGCCGTATTTTGTAGAAATCTGGCTGCATGGTAGTACTTACCAACTCTGACGGCGGAGTCTTACAGGATATCTTCATGGGTCGTGGTCTCACGGTCAATTCACGCCAACCCTCGAGGTACCTTCACGCACCCACATCTGCGGCATGCGGGATTCCGGCGAACGCGTCAAGATGCATACTTCATGTCCAGACTCTTGGACCGGTAGCTCCTGCCAGAGTTCTGCATAGCGGTGTACAAAACCGTATCAAATGCAGAAGCTATATCCGTACAAACGTTGATGCGGTCACCAGGTCCATGGTCTCCAGATACTCTGAGGCTGCGGCATTAGAGAGTCCCAAGAACGAGTTCGGATGCAGAGAAAGGTGGAGAGACACGGTAATGGCGAACGTCTGGGCAAGAATTACCGTAGTGGTGGGAGTCACGCTTGACTGGGCCGCGTCACATGGGAGTGTATGCCAGACGCCCATCGCCGAACCCGCCCGAGCTCCCAACTCTACTTACCGACCTTCCGTCTGCTTCGCCCTTGTTGCAATGGTATGAGGTTTTGTGTGTTTGGTGATGTAGCTCACTTATAGCCCTTCTATAGGCTCGTAATGAGGAGAAGGCTCAGTCTATGCTGTACCGGTTCCGGGAAGCCCAAGCTGCCGAGCTTGGGCTGGGGACGCGGAGCGACCGCAGGCCGCGGATGGCAAGCGCATGCAAAAGTTTGCGGGAGTGTGAACGATGGAGAGGAGAGATATTGCGCGAGATCAGTCGGAAGGTGTCCAAAATTCAAGATGGTGCGTCAGCCCGACCCTCCTGCGTACTGTGCTCACACTCCGTTTGGACGCATCATGCAGCCGGTTTGACGGACTATGAGATTCGTGATCTCAATGACGAGATCAATCGCTTGCTGCGCGAAAAGAGACATTGGGAGAACCAGATTGTCGCGCTCGGTGGCGCGAATTACCGGCGGAATGTGGCCATGTTGGATGACGACGGGAAGGAGGTGCCGGGGACGAAGGGATACAAATACTTCGGGCGTGCGAAGGAGCTTCCGGGTGTCAAGGAACTGTTCATGAGCAAGAAGACGGAGGAGGACGAGGAGAACAGGGTTCACAACTACTACAAGAAGTTCACGAACCAAGGGCCCGCGTACTTCGGGGATTTGGATGAGGCGGAAGGGAAGCTATTGGAGTTTGAGATGAATGCAGAGGAAGAAGGTACGTACCCTTTCATGCTGCCATGATATCTGTGAACACTTGTCCCCCTCTCCACTTTTATTCCCCACACACCCCGAACTTCCGTCTTCCGCCTCTCTTCGCACCCCTCACGCTCGTACCCTCGCATGGGCCGTCTGAAGTTCACTATCTTTGATCGTATGGCGTTGACTTACCTGGCCTTCGTAGAGTGGAAAGACGCATACAATCATCTCCGCACAGTCCTTGGCCTGTCAACAGACGAGCCCATTCCCCCAATACCGCGACCAGCCAAACAGGCCGCGACAATATCTATCTCCGACGCCAGCTCAGGGCCACCGGAACCAAAGCGCAAAGCGCCAGATGAAGACGGCGACGTCGAGATGCCCCCAGACGGCTCTCTCGAGGTCTCAAAACGCGCAAAGACAGACGCGCCGCCGCCCACGGGCGCGTCTAACCCTTCGTCAGACGAAGCTATGCTCGCGCATGCAAAACGGACGGCCGCGTATATCCCCATATTGTCGCCGGAGATTCTGCTGCCTCCCAAACTACCCACACGGGAGGAGATGGAGACGTATCTGCTGGAGCTGAGGAAGAAGGCGCTTGTGGAAGAGTACTTCGGGGACGAGCCGTGAGCACGTTCCTGCATCTCCGCTTTCGTTCCGTGCTTGGACCGCATGTATCTGTATCAACATCGTCTTATTGTAACGACTTGGCTGCAGGCTATCTGCAAATACCTCGAGACTTGTGTTTTTGGGCTGTAGCGCTCCTTAGTATCTTCGCGCATTGCACATTGGAGGCCGCGTTCGGCATACCCTCGATCGGCTCACGATGCACCTGGCTCTCCGCGCATTCTCTTTGAATTTGGAACCTGATGCATGCGTACGTCGATGACGGCTCGGCAATCTTCTAGGTCCTAGTTTTGAAGCTCTATCGGCGCCGTACAGTTACCCTTCTCTCCCCAACATACCTCAACATGCAAGTTACCTCAGGTGCGGTTGCATCTCGAAGTCATACGTGTTCTCCTGTACTGATTTTGAGAGACCCGCCGGGAGCCTATCCCCGTCTACCGCTCGGACCAAAAGGCACGAGACAACGCCTCACAAAACAGAACGAAATCTATCAACATATTTCGGGAGCTTCCTCTCCGTCAATATTCCCCTCTACACTGGGCTTTCGGCGCTTATCCTCCGGCGCGAAAGACGTCCTGCTGACGATCGGAGTGCGACAATACTTTACGTATAGAATGTAGGACATGCCCCAATCGTTGGACTGCTGTCGTCTCCGATGGAGAGCACCAGGCGTCGAGGGTGCTGTCTACTAGTCGCAGTCGATTAAGAACCCTTCACCACCAGATTCCGACATTGGAAGCAAGAGTACACTATATCCCGGTACACTCATCGCGCTTTCAGGAAAATGGCAACGGCTATGCTAGTACTGACATGGCTCGGGCAACGAGCGTACGTACTGTTGAAAGCGAGTGAATGTCTCAAACTGCCGGAGTCACTGAAGTAGTTACTCGAGGTGACGCGATTCCTTATCAAAGGATGTTAGGGAAGGTACTCGCCAGTGGGACGGATGGATCGCTCTGTGAATCAGTAAAGTTCAGTCTCGCAGCGGCAGCTCCGCTGACCGCCGCGCGTGTCCATCTCGCGCCTGAATCGTGTGCTCTTGAGGTGATAGACCGGCTCGATGTGTAGATAGTGCCAAAGAAGCTCTTCGGATGGACTTAGTGAGGACAAATTGGCAAAGTCACAAACCCTCAGCGGTCTGACTCTCAGGCTGGAAGTAGCGCAAGCTGACTACTCGCAGTTGGCCGCAGTGGGCACGGCCCGGGAGGGTGCGTCACGGGAACGGTCACATATGCATCGTGTGACACAAGTATGGTCATCGACTCACCATCATGATTCGACTCCAACACCCCCGCACGAAGCCAGCCGAGGACGGCCACATCCACTGCATCGGCATGCCCGCTGACAGTTTCGTCAAGGTCTCCTAATGTCTGAAGACCGATGGTGCTCCGCCCTACAGACACGTCTAACCCTTTGTCGGCGTGACGAAGCTATGCTCGTGCATGCAAACCGAATGGTCGTGTACGTCCCTATCTCGTCGCCGGATTCTTCTGCGGCCCATTTACCCACGCTGAAGGCATGATCGCTATAGCTGAGGAAGAAGGCACTAACGGAAGAGTACAAGTAAGGTACTCTCTATTCGTTTCCGGTCGGATTCGTATATCAAGCAGTTGTATCATGGTTTATTCAGATGTGATATTGCGTTATGCCGTAGCTTCTCAGCCGTACAGCGCGCTGGACCTTCTGACTTTCTAGTGTCCTCGAGTACTGCAGCCTTCTCCCGGCCGAGAGCTTGTTTTCCCCTCTTATTAATAATGGTCTGGCGTGCTCTCACACCCAGTGATTCTCAAGCATATCGCCCGAGTTTCAACTTCTCACAGTACAGTGTTCGGCAAGACTTTTAGTAGGGGCGTTTGACGCGTGGTTTTGCATGGCGAATGGGCATTCAAAGGACCACGTTGAGTGCAGGATGGGTATAGGCACGTGTGAGTACGCGCAAGGTCCGGAAGATGGCTCGGCGCACGATCGATTTCAGGAGCCCCAAGCCTCTCGATATACACAGTGAGCACCTGAGCCTACACGCGACATATCTCTGCTAACCACCCCTCCCCACGGTCATGTTCTGCACTCCTACTCACGCAGCGCGGCCACATGGCCCATGTAGCATTTCCATCCGTTCAGAAACGACATTTTGATGCAACTCGGGCGAATGTGCAGACACTCACCATCCCTGCTCGTGCCTGCCGTTCGGCTGGAGATACGAGACCACGGCGCGATGATCTTCCTCCTGGGCACGGGAGGCTCGTGTTCGGACTCGGAGTCGCCATCGGCCCTGGGCGCTGTCCCCACGTCGGTCGCCACCTTGACCTCCTCGGTCGCACGGATGATGTCCCGGACAACTTCGGCGGGGCTGAGGTTCAGCTGTATAACATTCACAATTGCGGTCAGGTGAGCTCTTCCCCTCTTGTACCTCATATCTATTTGTCCTCACGTGTTACTTCTTAGCCTAATTGCAGCCAATCGTCTACAGATCTCTGTCCTGTATGACTGTAGGTCGCCGTCGTTCCTGTCCTGCATTATCCAAAATGGACTGATCTGCGAACCTTGAAGCGTGGGGACAGGTCCAGATGGTGGCCTCCGTTCTCCCACGTACTCCCTGCATCCGAGTATCCTCCTAGCCCTGTTCTCACCAAATGTCACATGTGGAGTTCGTTACTGGGATCGCCAATCGCGAAGCTGTCAGGGTCTCCTTTACACGCATGGTCAGCATCTGAGCTCACTGGCAAGTACGGCCGGGTTCATGTAGTAGATGGTTGTCTCACGCGCGCACCTGCATGCAGGGCTCCATGAATGCGGTTCGCGCTGTAGCGACTCTTTGACACTTGAGAAGATTTGGGTGCCCTCTTAGCTGAGCGCTCTTCACCCCTCCCCCCCGATCTTTGAAGGACCATAACTCGGGTGCACTAGATTGTATCGTTTTGCGGGCACGGTTCAACTTGTGGACTCGCATTCTCTGGTCTGTCAAACGATAAGCATTACCTCTCGAACCTGCCCGCGGTTCTAACTCAAGCTAATGTCGCGTTCGTGAGGTGGATTTCCATCGGCTGACCACAGTACCTGTACTGCAGCGAGTACATTCATCGCAACTTGTGATGTCGACCGGGTGAATTCCTACCTTGTCAAATGGTCTGCAATGACTGCCATATGCTGCATAGAACTCGCTCATCTTCAAGACGGTCTTCTGGCGTGCGCTAAGTCGTCTTGGCTTACGTGGTGAGTCGTTGAGCCAAGCGCCTGAACCTCGTACGATCGCTCACTCGTCGTCGGTAGGCACCACGTTGATATTTACATCGGGGTCCGCGGAGAAAGCTTCCACACACGTAAGTACTTCCCAACATGAATGCTTGCTTCGATTTGCAAAATATGTGTCCCAGCATCCACTAATCCATCTTCCACAACCTATGTTATATTGAAAGGCCCGGGCCGCGTCTTCTCTTCTCCCACATTCTCCGAGCATGCGACCAATATCTTGGCCACCCTCGCACCAATGGCCCATGACTCACCTATACTTGACGTAGCCATTCACCAAGTTGCCGAGCCCTTGGGTACGTTGATAGCATCCGAATTGGAGCCCATGACCGGCGTTGGCTCCGGCCAGAAGACAGACTGAGGCGTGCTTCTCTCGATCTCCCCCAAGTGAGTACTATCGCCGGCTGGATTCCGTAATCGCATCTATATTTGAAACTACAGGCCCGAGGATCTTGGATGTCATGTCAATAACGACTTTCATGCCCTATCTAGCTCCTAGCGAAGTTGTTGGATTGGTGCGACGGCGGCTAGGGGTCCGAAACCCTGCCGCTGGAGCCAGCTCCTTGGTGTGACAACTGTGTACACACGAATGACATATGGTGATGCTTGGAAGCTCGTGTATATGTGGTCCAGGGGCCATTGAGCCTGCAGTCTCCGTCACGCGTTGTCCCTTAAAAAGACCAATTGGCCGGGCTGCACTTGTTTGTTCCCTGCTGCCCCCTTTGCTTCACCGCTGGAGCTGCATTGCTTTCCAACATGTCTGATAAGTTTCAAAGCAGCTACCTCACCTACGCATCCACTCTTGTCTCATTCGTAGTCGCATACAGTCTTTGGTCCATCGCGCAATGGAGAACTCGCAGTCGAGGCCGTCCCCTCCCTCCCGGACCGAAACCTCTCCCGGTCCTCGGCAATATGTTCGATGTGCCTCGGTCCAGACAATGGATAAGCTATCGAGACCTTAGTCGTGTTTATGGTAAGTGATGAAATGTCCTGCTCCTGCATAAGCTCTGACTAGCGTATCCGAAGGGGACATCTTACACTTTCGCATCTTCACAAAGTCTTACGTCGTACTCAACAGTGCCGAGGCGATGTACGAGTTGCTTGACAAACGAACCGCCAATACCTCTGATCGCGTGCAGACACCCATGATCGAGTTGTACGTCTGCCCCTACTACATACCCTCTACACAGCTGAAGCATATCCGGATAGATCGGGATCTAGTCTCAACTTGGGCTTCATGCCTTACGGTCAGTGGTGGCGCCGCCATAGACGCTATTTCTGGCAGCACTTTCGTCCAGAGGCCATCGGACCGTATAGGCAGACGCAGCAGTCCGCCGCCCATATGTTCTTGCAGAAGCTGTGCGACAACCCATCAGATCTGAGAAAGCTAATTCACTTGTACGTCCATCATATCCGCTTTCGCTCCCGATCCCATTGGCTAAGCCAAGATGAGCAGCAACTTCATAAAGGTGGCATTGAAGGTTGGATACGATATTGATGTCGACGACGGCGACGACGAGTACGCAAAGATCGCAAAAGAAGCGCTAGAGGGCCCTGTAGAGGGTTTGGTCCCGGGAAAGTTCTTGGTTGAGTTCTTTCCGTCCCTTCGACACATCCCGCCTTGGTTTCCAGGGGCCACCTCACAGAGACTATGGGCGAAGTGGCAGGCCGCAGGCGAAAGACTCAAGAACGTTCCGTTCAGTCGTGCGAAGGCCAAATTGGTGTGTATGCAGGCTTGAAGGTTCTCTACTAACTCACGCCATCATTGTCGCAGGCTAGCGGAGAAATGACCGATTCCATTGCGGCGAGATTGCTCCAGAGGCTTTCTGACAGGGGCATCACATCCTCAGAGGAAGAGGAGATCGTGAAGGATGTGGTAGCGATTGCTTTCGAAGGTATGAGGGCGATCCCCTTGGTAGAGTGAACACCCAGTTTAAATATTCTCTTTGCAGGTGGCACTGACACTGTACGTGCCTTGCGTAGCTCATGCGATTTGTGTTCCCGATCTGGCCCTTACAGGTGTTGTCCGCAACGCTGTCCGTCTTCTCTGGCGTGTCGCTTCACCCAGAAGTGCTCAGGAAAGCCCACGCTGAGCTCGACGCAGTAGTCGGCCCCCATCGCTTGCCGGATTTCAACGACTGGGATTCGCTGGTCTATGTCAACGCGATCATCAAAGAAGCCTTGCGATGGCATACGGTTACGCCGTTGGGTGTACCACATGCTACTACTAATGATGACGATTTTCGTGGCTACTTTATTCCGGCTGAAACTATGATCTTACCGAATGTCTGGTACGCCGAAAGTGCCGGTTCTCAATGTTCTGAACCGCCTCCTACGCTATTCTGAACTGACCATTCTATCAGGGCATGTATGCATGATCCTGATGTGTACGAAGATCCGGATGTCTTCCGACCAGAAAGATTCATCCGCGATGGCAAGCTAGATTCGACGGTGCAAGATCCCGCGGCGTTCGTCTTCGGATTCGGTCGGAGGCGGGTTTCTATCAGACAGTTGATTCTGTTGTACATTGGACTCATCTAGGCTGCAGGATATGTCCTGGACGCTACTTTGCCGAAGCCGCACTGTTCATCAACGTTGCCTGCGCCCTTCACGTGTTCGATATAACTCAACCGCTTGGCGAGGATGGACAACCCATTGAAATCAAGCCGGGACACACAGACAGCCTGATCTCGTGCGTGCAGGCCACAGTCTTGCAGCGATTCTGTGTTTGACCCGTCTTGCATAGTTACCCTGAGGATTGTCGGTGCACGATCAAGCCTAGATCGGCGGCGGCGGAAACAGTAATACGCTCCCATGCCACTGCTGCGCGCCAAGCGTTGAACGAACGAACCTCCGGCCGCTAACCTACAGCAATGCGGCAAGCAAGACTCACCGGCTAGGACAGCATTTGAGGATGCGCCGTGGAAAATCGCAGTTCTGTAGACGTTTATGTACCATCAGCAACACTGTCGAGTCGAGAGTTTCTACAATGCAGACTCATTTCGATTCAATTCCAACGACGACCGCCCCCCCACGCGTATGCCCCAACATTGTGTGAGGGCATTATGTCTTGGGCAACTATGTTTTTTTACAGGATCTATGATATTAGGCGAGTCCTGACGAAGTTGAAAATCCCTCTCTACATCTGGCGTCATCGTCGGACTAGTAAGCGCTACCAGTCGAAGCGCGCAGGGCTGTCGGCGCCCACTATCCGGCCCGTGAGCCGCTAGCCTGTCTCACCTCTCAAACACAACCACGTTTCGTGGCTTCACACCGTTGCTGTTCTCAGGCTTAGTTTTGGCGAATACAGCGTGTATAAGAAGCTTTCTAGTGAGCTAGCTGTTGTTTCGCATACATTCAGCTCCCTCTCACTTCTTCCGCACACTAAGCAGTTCCTATCTAGCATACAACTACCTCTGACCGCCTCCTACTTTCCGTTGCGGAACGAACCTCACGATATGTGAATGATATCTATTCCCGTCGATTCTATGTTTGTTATGCGGATCGACGAAGTATGCTCCACTCTCACACCACGTCGTGTCCATATATGCTGTGGCGACGATGTGCTCTTGAGGACACCTGAGATCCACTCCAAGCTTCTCATCTGTCCTCCCAGTCTTGTGATTGGTCTTGTGGTCAAATTTACGATCTGATACATTTACAATAAACACTCCGCGCTACCGCACCGAACCAATATGGCGAATACGTCACGCTTCTCTGGCTGCCTCAAGCGTCAGTTCGGGTGCGGCATGGGAAGGGGCTCACTGGGCAAAAAGTAAAGTGGTGCACTCATGCTTGCGATATCTAGGTGAGTTCATCGAACTGCCTCCGCGACAGCTGTCTCGTGCGACTTGAACGGCGTCCGACGTTCTTGGGCTCAATGTCTATGGAAGACGAGGGAAGAATGGACATTCCCAGACGCGATAACGACCTACATCTTGACGCCTTTCTGCAATGGCCGCGCCAGAAAAGTAGGCAACTCCACATCCTCCAGGGCTATCTCGTATGTGGTGCTCTTACAGTTCCCACCCGCATGCAATGGACAGGGACAAAAGCTTCTTGTGCCTGCACACCAAAGACACGTGTGTCGTTCACAGTGAGCTCTTCTAAACCTTCCTGGGCGACCCTTAAAGTACTGTATGATTCCCAGGTCGCCTCGCCTCCGTTGTCCAAATTTCCTCTGACCTTGCCATACTATGGGGAGTCGTACTGACTTGAATACCGCTACTGCGGTTGTTGTGGGGATAATCTCCTTATTCTTGTTGTACATACGGTCGCTCACTCAGTGGAGGGCTCGCACGCGAGGCTTGCCATTTCCTCCAGGTCCAAGGCCGCTACCGATCGTTGGGAACTTACTTGATGTGCCCAAGAGTCACGCCTGCGTAACGTTCCGCAATCTGTGTGCGCAATACGGTGAGTGCTACTTGCTGAGGACATGTTTCGGTCTAACATAACTTGTTTCTGCACTCGAAGGGGACATCTTGCACCTGCGCGTTTTCGGACAATCCACGGTTGTCCTCGGGAGCGCAGATGTGATACATCAATACCTCGAGAAGAGGGCTGCGAACACGTCGGACCGGAAGCAGTCGCCCATGATAGAACTGTAAGTCCCCACTCCCTGTCACGTTGGATACAGGGGTCTAAGTACCTATGCATAGGAGCGGACAGGGCCGTAACTTCGCATTGATGCCCTACGGGGAGAGATGGCGTCGTCACAAGCGTGTCTTCTGGCAGTGCTTCTACCCAAGAGCAATCCTCGACTATGGTCCGACCCAGCGGAACGTCACATGCATATTCCTTGAGAAGGTCTTGGACGAACCGACTAAGCTCAGACAACTGATCCGTTTGTGCGTGTGCTACTTCACTTCTTTGGCTCAGCGCTCATGTCCTCAACAATGATACAGTTCCTTCGCAGCCAGCATACTCAAGCTTACGTACAACATCGACATAGCAGATGAAAACGACCCTTTCATCGGCATGGTTGAGGCTACGTTCGAAGGCGTCAACGAGGGTTTGCCGCCCGGCAAATTCCTTGTTGAGTTCATACACTTCCTACGCCATGTTCAGCCTTGGATTCCAGGTATGCGGTCGCCGAAACTTTGGGCAAAATGGCAAAGTTCAGCGCAAACGATGGTCAACGCACCGTTCATGTATACCAAGGCGCAGATGGTCAGCGTTCCATGTCTACTGTGGGCCGGGAGTCCTGATCGGAAACACTGACTTTGGCTGCAGGACCAAGGGAAAGCGTCTCATTCCATTGTCGCAAACCTATTATCACGGCTCCCGCAAACCGAAGACGTCCTGCCAGAAGATGAGGAGATCATCAAAGGCGTGGGCATGGTCACCTTCGAAGGTATTTACCGTCTAAATTCTCAGGGAATTGTCACTCAGCAGTACATACCACTACAAGGCGGCACGGACACGGTCGGTTGAGTTACATGCAGAAGCTGGCGGATGTTGCTGATGCAAACTCTCTCAGGTCTTTTCCACCCTGCAGGCAGTCTTCTTGGCTATGTCTCTCCATCCTGAAGTCTTACGGAAAGCCCACGCCGAACTTGATACCATTGTTGGCCCGGACCGTCTCCCGGACTTCAGTGACAGAGACTCTCTAGTCTACATCAACGCTCTCATCCGGGAGGCCATGCGATGGCATGTCGTTCTTCCCCTAAGCCTACCTCATGCGACCATCAAGGATGACGAATTCAACGGTTATTTCATTCCCGCTGGTACTGTCATTCTACCCGCGACTTGGTACGCTGATCAGCGCTGCGAATGTGTTCATGCCATAGCGTCAGAGACTGAATGAATACATAGGGCTTGTATGCAGGACCCCGCTGTATTCGAGAATCCGGACGGGTTCCGCCCCGAGCGTTTCATTCGCAACGGGCAGCTCGACGTGACTGTTCGGGATCCGGCCGCCTTCATCTTTGGCTATGGGAGACGGTGCGCAACTCTTCTACTCAAGGAATCCAACCACGTAACTGACGTTCAAACACAGGATGTGTCCTGGGCGTTATTTCGCCGAGGCTGCATTGTTCATCACAGTTGCATCGGCGCTTCATGTCTTCAACATCACCCCGCCTCTGGGCGGGGATGGGAAGCCGATCAAGGTCGAACACAAGATGACAGACGGGACTGTTTCGTATGCATCTGTCTTGAAAGCTCATTTGAACGTCCACGAGCTAGCTCACAATTGCTAGGTACCCCGAAGATGTGCGCTGCACCGTTCGGCCCAGGTCCCCCGCCGCAGAAGCGCTTATACGCTGCTATGCCTCTGAGGCGCGTGCGGCCAAGGAGCACTAGACTGAGCAATATGATCGCTTAGGTTGACCGGTCGATTATATGCAAAGCGCTGTCGAACTGAGAGTGCTGATCACGACGTTAGAGTTGAGCGTCTGCTCAGGGGCCCGTGTAACGTGTAGGGAGTCCTCAATGCGCAGTTTGTTGGGTACATGGACTGTCTCTAGATCTCTGGAGGCAGCTAGTAACTTCAACAGCACATCCTCGTGTGCCTCTCGAAGTCACGTCGAATTCAAAAAGTTTGCGACAGGGCACAAGATGAGGATGAAGCTGACTTGACGCAGATCCCCCTCAAACCCAGCTTGTATGGTCACATCCGCGGCTAGCGCGAGACGCGTCTCTTGACTTCAGTCAGTTCTTCGCAGCATGATGAGCTGAGTAGATTCGCGATTCCATCAGTGCCGGGATGATGTGAGTCCGCTGGCGGGTTATGATCGAAGCATTGATACACTCCCATGCTGCTGCTCGCTGAGCATTGCACGGACAGGACCGAGTACTTACAGGCCTCGTTTGCTGAGCTAGGTTGAAGCGGTGAGATTTCATGCGCGACGGCCGGCTTGCGTCGCACGACATGCAGAACGTCACCGCAAGTTCGTAGACCTTTGTGTAGTGTCAGCGGCACTTTCGAGTCGAGAATTGTACTGGCTAGAGTTTGACTAGAGGCATAGTGTTGCACAGGCATGTCCTGACTCGGTCGAGAACACCTCTCATCTGGTCGAGAGCGTTGATCTACATAGTGCTTGTGTTAGCTGCTGGCCGGGAAGTGCGCCTCACTGTTAAGTTGCCAGTCGAGTCTCGACCGACGGCGTCTACCTGAAGCCCGGCCCGAAGGAGGTGTCCTCTAAGCCGCCTAGCTCGGTGACCCTCTCTATCACCACCACATTCCTCGAGATACAAACGGTTGCTGTCCTCGGGCTTCTATTCCAGAGATATAACTTGCGTTTGGGCCCTTTTCCCAAGTGAGCTATCTATTCTCATACGTTGACATTCTGCTCGCTTGTCCGGCACTCTAAGCGGTTCTTATCTGACATACCGGTCGGCGTCGCCCGAGCCTGTCAGGAGTACCGAGACCTGGATAGCGAATGTGTCCTGCAACTGTGATGCGAACCTATCGTCGTCGTGTCTGCTAGACGAACTGCTGTAGCTTGCCCTTTTCTCATACTCAATCATGTTCGTACGCTGTGGCGACATAGTGCTCTGCGGACTCAGAAATGGTTGAACTTTGACTCAAGGTTCTAAGAAACCCTTATAGTCCTGTGATCAGCCTTGTGGTCAGTAAGTTTGCGATTCAATGCCAGTACGGTGAACCTTGTCCACTGTCACAGGAAGCATTTGTGCTTCCCTGGCTGCCAGCGCATCGGGTTCAGCCTAGGTTGGAACTCACTTGGCAGGACGCATACTGTTGCGCTTGCGTGGGCGGTCTTGAGGTGAGTTCACGAAAATGATTGATGTTGCCAAGATTGCTGACCCGCAAAAAGCACAAGACGCGATGGTGACCCACACCCTCAATGCTGTTCTGGGAGGCCGGCGTCAGCGAGATAGGCACCTCTGTAGAACACTAGGGCCCATCTCGTATACGATGTTCCCGTGGTTCCCACCTGCATGCAATGTCCAGGGACGACGGCTTGGACGGCATCCAAAACCAAGACACAGATGTCGTTTACACTGAGCTCTACTAATTCTTCCTGCGCAGCCTATGAACGACTGCATCTTTCCCGGATCGCAACATCGCCGTTGATCTAGGTTCCCTCCTCTCTTGCCATACCATGGAGAGCCGTATCGGATCGAATATCGCTACTGTGGGCTTTCTAGGAATCTTGGCCCTATTCCTGTCGTACATACGGTCACTCGCTCGGTGGAGGGCCCGCACTCGAGGCTTGCCGTTCCCTCCAGGTCCAAGGCTGCTGCCACTGGGCGGCGATTTCTTTGACGTGCCCAAGAGTCACGCCTGGGTTCGGTACCGTGAACTCTGCACTCAGTATGGTGAGACCGACTTGCTACGGACTTCCTCCGGTCGTCGTCGATTGACCTGTTCCAATCGCAGGGGACATCTTGCACCTGCGGATGTTCGGCCAATTCATGATTGTCCTTGGAAGCGTGGATATCAAACATCAATTCCTTGAGAAGCGAGCTGCGAACACGTCGGACAGAAAGCAATCGTCAAAGACAGAACTGTGAGCGTTTGCTTGGATCTTCTTCGACTACAGGGGTCTGAGCTCCTGTGCCTAGGAGCGGATAAGGCTGTAACTTCGGTTTCATGCCATACGGAGAGAGGTGGCGTTGCTACAAGCGCGCTTTTTGGCAGTGCTTCTACCCAAATGCGATCATCGACTACCATCCAACCCAGCAGGCCTGTGTACACATTTTTTCTTGAGAAGGTCTTGGACGACCCTACTGAACTCAAGCAAGCAATCCGTTTGTGCGTGTCCCGTTTCAATATGGTCAATGAGAGCTGATGACCTCAATGACAGTTTAGTTCATTCGCAGCCAGTATATTGAAGGTTGTATACGACATCGGTATACAAGATGAGAATGACCCGTTTGTTGGCATGATTGAAGGTGTGTTTGAGGGCATTAATGAGGGCTTGCCGTCTGGCAGGTTCCTTGTTGAGTTCATGCCGTTCTTGCGCTATGTTCAGCCTCGGATTCTAGGTATGCGATCGCCGAAGCTTTGGGCAAAATGGCAGGATGCAGCGCATAAGATGGCCAACGAACCGTATATGCTGACTAAGGCACAAATGGTAAGCTTCATACGTCCCCCGCGAGTCTGGACCTCTGATCGTGATAGTTTATGTTGGCTTCAGGACCAAGGCAAAGCATCTCAAGCAATCGTCGCAAACCTATTGTCCCGAGTTCCACAATACGGAGAGGTCTTGCCAGCATATGAGGCGATCGTTAAAGGCGTGGGGATGGTCGCCTTCGAAGGTATTTACCGTCTAAATTCTCAGGGACTTGTCACTCAGCAGTACATACCACTACAAGGCGGCACGGACACGGTCGGTTGAGTTACATGCAGAAGCTGGCGGATGTTGCTGATGCAAGCTCTCTCAGGTAATTTCCACCCTGCAGGCAACCTTCTTGCCCATGTCTCTCTATTCTGAAATACTACGGAAAGCCCACGCTGAACGAACTCGATGCCGTTGTCGGTTCGCATCGTCTCCCGGACTTCGCCGACAGAGACTCTCTGGTCTATATCAACGCTCTCATCTGGGAGGCCATGCGATGACACGTCGTCCTTCCCCTATGCGTGCCTCATGCCACCACCGAGGATGACGAACTCAACGGATACTTCATCCCCGCTGGTACCGTCATTCTACCCGCAGCCTGGTACGCCGATCGCTCTTGTGAACTTCCTGATGTCGTAGCGTCAGAGACTGAATGAGTGCATAGGGCTTGTATGCATGATTCTGCTGTCTTCGAGCATCCGGACGAGTTCCGCCTCGAGCGTTTCATTCGCAACGAACAGCTCGATGTGACTGTGTGCGATCCTGCCGCCTTCATCTTCGGCTATGGGAGATGGTGCGCGACTGCACTGGTGCATCGATCCCACCACGTAACTGATGTTCTAACACAGGGTCTGTCCTGGGCGTTATTTGACCGAGGCCGCACTGTTCATCGGCCCTTCACGTCTTCAACATCACCCCGCCGCTGGGAGGAGATGGGAAGCCGATCAAGGTTGAATACAAGATGACAGATGGGAATAATTCGTACACATCGCATCTGTCCTGAAAGCCGGCTGTTAATACTGACGAACTGAAACTCACTAGCTATTCCGAAGATGTGCGCTGCACCGTTCAGCCCAGGTCCGCCGCGGCCGAAGCGCTTATACGCTCCTATGCTTCTGAGGCGCATGCCGCCATGGAGCAATGAACAGATCGATTTGGCTGCTTGAAGTTGGCTCAGTAACATGCAAGGTGCTACGGTATTATAGAAGATGCCGACTTCGATGTTGAATCTATGTGGCAGCTGAACAGCTCATGTAGCGTGCAGGTACTTCCCAATGCACAAGTCTATGGCGAGTAAGGCAGCTGGGATGCTTATCAGTACATTCTCGTGTGCCTATATATATATCATGATTATGCCAAGTCTTGGCAGGGCTCAACACGAGAGTGAAGCTAACCTGTCGCCAAATCACCTAGAAATACAAAATGGAGGGTCGTATGCCATGCAACACGTCGGTCCTGGCCGCAGGCAATTCTTCAACGCCTGCGTGATGCCGAGGTGAGCCGCGGACTCGCAGCCCTGTCGATGCCGTAATGGCATGAGTCTGCTGACGGCCACGGTCTGTTTGAGCTACACTATACTATAGGACAAGCGCACGCATGAGACTGGTGCTGTCCACTACAGTTTAGAGGGTGCATTCCTGAAGTCATGGGCTGCATGACGTGTCTCATCCACGTTCTAGGGTATCCGGAAAACTCACGGTGCATATCACGCGCCACCTCATAAGCTCTCGCAAAAGCGGAGCTTGGTATCTTCTCATTCCTCCCTCCATTCGCCACTTCAGGAGGCCACGCTGATCTCGCCCCTCATAGGCCAAAAGATTGTTTTACCCCTCGCCAGAAAGCCATGTCCACAGCAATTGTGAACCTTTCAGCAGTAGTCGCAGCCGTTTTATTCGCTCTGTTGTATACTTGTCTCCGTTCGATCTTTCACCGGAATGCTCGACTTCGTGAACTTCCACTACCTCCTGGTCTCCCACGGCTTCCCATACTCGGCAATTACTTCAATATCCCAACAGTCAGGCCATGGGAAACATACCGAGACTTATGCTCGAAACTTGGCAAGTCACGCCCCAACTTCACGCCAGGACCACGCCAACTGACAAAATTTCATGCAGGAACAATCCTACACATTGAGGTCTTCGGCCAGCATGTTGTCGTTCTGGGCAGTCCCGAAATCATCTTAGAATATCTCGAGAAGGGTTCTCTGAACACTTCCGATCGGAAGCAAACCCCAGTTCTGAGCCTGTACGTCGTTCCTGGCTCTCTGTATCGTGATCAGCTTCACCGTTAGCATGTAGTGTGGGCGCTGACCTCAACTTCGGCCTGATGCCCTACGGCCAGTGGTGGCGACGACACAGACGGGCGTTCTGGCAGCACTTCCGTCCGGACGCGGTTCTGGGCTACCAGCAGGCGCAATGTCAGATTGCGCGGAGGTTCCTGCGTGCACTCTTGCAAGACCCATCAGAACTAGTGGAGCACATACAGTAGTAAGAAGTCTTTCGTAGACCATCCGGCGTTCACCGCTAATGAGTTATTTAGTACCGCGCTAGGGTCACTGATGAAGGTCATTTATGACATTGATGTTGTGCGTGAAACCGACTTCAGGACATATTCGTCCGTGCTCCACTCGGTCCAGCAAGGTGTAGGTGAAGTATTCCAACCTGGGTCATCCCTGATTGAGTACTTTCCGGTCCTGCGATGGCTACCTTCGTTCCTCCCCGGTGGATCGTACGTTCGGAGAGCATCTAAATGGCGGTCTTCTGCATATCACCTCAGGGAAGAGCCGTTTGTACGAGCACAGAAGACATTCCAGTCGGTAAGCAGCGTTGCTTTCTGTTCCGCGCAACCATTGCATGTACTAACTTGAAGTCGAATTGAAGACTACAGACGGTCCCGAGACGTGCATAGTGCATCGGCTTCTCAAGCGCGTTGCTGCATCCGCGTCTGAGAGCGCGGCCTTGGTGTCTGAGGAAACGGAGATCGCTGAAAACGTCGCGGCTGTTTCCCTCTCGGGTACGTTACCGTTTGTCTTTATAGCACCTCAACGCTCCCCGCCTCACTGCGATTTTATATAGCCGGGTCTGATACCGTCAGTGGGCTTCCCTGAGGATCTGTACCATTATGGCGTCTGATATCCCGACATAGACCTACTCACTGTTACAAGCATTTTTCCTAGCTATGTCGCAACACCCCGACGTAGTAAAGAAAGCCCAAGAAGAACTAGATTCAGTCGTCGGCAACAATCGCCTGCCCGACTTTGGAGACCAAGACAAACTGGTGTATTTGACGGCTATCGTGAAGGAAACTCTTCGGTGGCATGTCGTGGTTCCTTTCGGAGTGCCACATTGCACGACCCGTGATGACGAGCTTCGGGGCTACTACGTTCCCGCAAACACCGTTCTGCTTCCCAACATCTGGTGTGTGTGGTATAGACTGAGCTGCTTTGGGGTAGAACTTATACGGACATGTAGGGCGTGCTTACACGACCCGGAGGCCTACCAAGATCCTGAAGACTTCCGCCCGGAGCGTTTCATACGAGATGGGAAGCTTGATCCGTCCGTGCGCGATCCCTCTGCATTTGCGTTCGGCTTCGGAAGGAGGCGAGTGTCTCTGCGATTCATTACCATTATCCAACACAATGGACGACTCGATTCGAAAACCTATCGCTCACTTGCATATGTAGGGTCTGTCCTGGACGCCACTTTGCAGAGGCCGCTCTGTTCATCAATATTGCCTCAGTATTGCACGTCTTCGACATCGGCCCACCCCTTGACGGAGCCGGCAAACCTATCAAAATTCAATACAAGATGACGAATGGATTCCTGTCGTACGCGTCAACCTCCGAATCTTACGTGGGGATGGCGAACTCACCTCGCTATGACAGGTACCCAGAGGACTGTCGTTGCTCGATCGTGCCACGCTCTGCTCAAGCGGAGAGATCGATACGAGAAGCCCAGTAGCTCCTGGCCGAGCTGTAACCCACGCGTCACCATGCAAGTCTAGTGGTCTGCTTGTCGTCCATCATGCATCATGTTGCACCTACCTGTTTTCTCCCGTCGAGCCCGTCATTGAGTCTGATCCGGGCGATGCTATTGATGAGACGCCAAGCTCGGCAATTGTCAAGACCGCATAGCGAAGACGGGCATTCGCTCACCGTGCTTACCTGCGTCATGCGACGTCACAATGTCATTGTGGGGGGAGGGAGGGGTTCAGCGAGAACATACATCACGGGAAAGGCAGACATCATCGAGCTCAGGCTCTCGCCGGTTCCCATCAGCATGATTGTCCTTCCCAGGGCCAGCCTGATGGCTCCCGAGGGCACTCGAGCCGTCAGTATTACTCACATATGTACAACGTCATACGGCATCGTCATTGATATCTGCAACCTTCCAACCTACGTCAGCGAAGAGATGACACTGCCGAGCTCATGACGCATTCTCGTCTCGCCTACGCAAGGGCTCAGACATGATACCAGGACTACTCCGATGATGCTCTCACGACAGTGCTCTACGTCGAGATACAGTGTTGTCATTCTGCTCACACCTCAAGACAAGGATGTGCGTCTTCCGAGGCCAGAGAAGATGGCGATTGCTTATTCCTTCCCGCATGAGAATGATAGCACCGAGCGCGCGCGCTGACATGCAATCGGCTACAGTATTCGGAATGCGAGGGACAAGGGGAACACACCTATTTCATACATGCCACCCGCGGAGTTCATAGACGGGCGCCACTGGGGAAGCAACAGCTGAGGCGGCCGACTAGCCAAAAGTCAATGTGCCACTACGCGTGGTCACTGGAGACGACATGAAGTGAAGTGGACAGATAGGTACGTACAGTAAACTCGAAGACCGTCAGTGCCGTAGCACGTCTTCGACCACTAGGAAAAGTCAGCGGCACAACAAAACTTGCGATCGTGCTGCCAAGGGTTGCAACGCAAACGCAGCCATGAAAGAAAACATAAATTTCCCCGCTACAGCAGCCATGTAGCGGCCACATAGCGAAAGAAGCTAGATCTCAGATTCGTCGCAAAATTCGTCGCTAGAAACGGAAATGCCTGTTCGAAACACGACTCACTAGGAGTTCCAGCAGGCGGGCGAGGGAGGGTGGCACAGGCGCATATAAGTCTCCGACCTCCGCACTCAGAGGGGCGAGCGACCCATCTGCATTCCTTGGAACGTGTTTGCGATCGACAGATCGCGCGAGGCCTTGCTTAATCTATCCGCGCGCGGCCGCACCCCCAATCTGGTATCCGGTATCTCGAGCACGCTCTAACATCATATATTTCGACCTAGCTCTGCGCCCCCTCCCGTATCGCCTCTTGCCTCCACCTATCACGCCAGACGGTCAACGGTAGCACTACACGCGACGATGCAGCACAACCATTCCCGCACCGCTACCTCTAGATCTGGTGCGACGGCGACCCCAGGCCCCTCCAGAGCCGCATCAGGCGCCCGCACCGCGACCGCAACCACGTGCATGCAAGCGTCGGATGTGCTCAGGCTCCCGCTCGCGCACTTGCCCGCCCATATCAGCCCGACGCTCCGCATCGTGAGTCATATCCTGGCCGCTCCGTCTGCCTATGGGTCCCTGACCGGACGCCGATTCCAGGATTGGGAGAACAGGAAGCTCGCTGTCGAGTTCGACTTCAGCGGGCAGCAGAGCGATGCCGGGTAAGCCCCTCGCCGTATCACGTGCCTCTTCGTACCAAGCTGATCCCATTCGCGGTCTCTTGCGCCCCGCGCATCCCGCCCGTCCCGCCCGCCCGACGCGCTGCGCAGTACCGTGCAATGCGTGCAGAGCCTCTGCGGGATCTCCGACGGGGCCGCCCACAGCCTGCTCGCGAGCGCGAACAGGAGCCAGGCCTGCTGTGCCGTAGAAGGCTGTCTCCGGCCGCGTCCTTGCAAGATCCATGCGGCCCGGCCCGCTCGCGAGTCCGCGCCGTCCCCGCAGCCTGCAGGGCGAGTCGCGGCCCCCCGCATCGCCCCCCCAATCCCGCGCCGGAAGGCAGCACGTATCGTAGATGCGAACGGGCCCTCCGGCGGGGCGACGCTCGACGACACGAACACCCTGCGCGCGTCGAACGGCGACGACGCCTCCCCAGCGAAAACGCGCACGGCCGCCGCGACCTTCGAGCCCGTCATGAAGGCCGAGCCGACAGATAAGATGTACGCACCGCTTCTTCCTCCCCTTCAGCATCAGACTGCAGTGCTCGTCCTGACCCTCGTCCTCGTCCTTGTGACAGCCCCGGGCGGCGGCTCCACCCCCAGCGGCGGCAGTTCAAGATCCGCAACGAGAACAGGCACACGCGCTGGTACCGCACCACGCACGCGAAACCGATCGACGGGCCCCCGGGACACCTGCTGAAGCCGCCCCGCGGCGCGCTCTACGTCCACCAGTACAAGGTGCCGCACGTCGGCTGGCAGATCTGGATGTTCGTCAAGTACGACGCGGAGACAACGGCGAGGGACGGCGAGAGCAGGAGGGCGAGTGTGCAAGACGGTGCCGCTGAAGCGAGCGTGAATGGGAGCAGGGACACCGACGGGGTGCAGGGCAGAGAGCGGGAGCGGGAGCGGGGGTACGGTGGGGAGTGGGTGCGCGTGTATCCTGGACAGCCGCATCCGGAGTTGGAGGGGTACGTGCTGCATATGTTGGATGGGGGCGAACCTCGGTGGGTGAAGGCGTTGTCGGCGAGGCAATATGCGAGCACTAGGGCGAAGAGGGTGCAGGTTGTTGATGCAGCAGGTAAGCGTTGGTACGCTTCATCGCCGTCACGGTGGATTAGCACGCTGATAGATTGTCCAGAATAAAATACGCGTGGCGGCGCGCACAAGCACACGGACCGTAGAGTACACATCATAAGTCTACCTGTACTTCCTGTGGTCAGTCCTGTGCCACTGGTTGGCCTTTTAATATGTTCGACGAATCATACACACACCTCTCCCACTTTCCAAAAACATCCACATGTTCTTGGAAAGCTGCAGATAACCTGTTTCTCTTGATCTATGCTCCTCCTACCCGGCCTGCTGGTTTGAATTATGAGTAAACATAATTGAACTACTCGTCAACGCCGAGAATATGACGATGTTGTAAATCCTTGGAAAGTCGACAATAGCGCCGGTGCTCAGCGTCAACGTTCCCGTGAACGTCTCTTGTTCTCTAAGTACCGCCAGGCTGCGCCAGCTGCTTTCCCGCTCAAGGCAGTTTCGCTGCAGACGAGCGTCTCCATCGCGTCTCCGATAGCCCACTCCGTCCAGGTGGCCGCCTGCGGTTGGTCACAGGACGTGGAGGACGCATAACCTTTGGCAGCTATGCCGTGAATCAAGCAGACATCGGACCGGAGCAGCGGTGAGAGAAGCGTCGAACACGTTCACTGAGGTCGATAAGAGCGCATCAGGGACATGCAAGGAGGACGGAGGATGGTTCTGGGATACGACGATGTCGAGAGGAAAGCACGAGAACGTCGTCGATGGCTGAACATCTCAACACCCACGGGCGCCTGCATGTGCGGTGGACCGGAAAGGGAATTGGGGGTGCAAGAAGCGAAGGCTGCATCTTCTGCAACTTCTGATGAGCCGCGCAAGCGATTCGCCCGGGTCTTGGGACGTGTGGGGGGCCCAATCATATTTATCCCAGCCCCACGCCGGCTTTCATGCGGTTCTCTCTGTGCAGGTCTGCTCAAGCGCAAGCCCAGGCTGCAAGTAATCCACAAGCTTCTTCTCCTCCCAGGACCCCTTCTGCTTCTTGGATCCCGAGGCGACGACTCGGACGACTAGCATGTCTTCGGAGAAAGTGTCGCCGAGCGGCGACAAAGTGAGAGACGCCCAGCTGCTGTGAGTTTTTCTTTCTGCAGACGCGCCCGTGCTGCTGCTATATATGCCGGCAGTCTGTTGACTCGCTCATTGTGTGCGCGCGCCATGTAGGGTCGAAAACATCGAGGTTGCTGTCGCACATGGAGAGATATCCGAGGCTATGGTCGTCGCGGAAGGCGAGGAGCGCACGACTTGGTTCGTCTGGCTCCTTGTCGCGTGCGCTAGTATCTCCGGTCTGCTATTCGGTGTGTGCCTTCTCTCCCTCTTGCGTTCATAGGAAATGAGACCAACCATCTGCGTACACCATAGGTTATGACACCGGCGTGATATCTGGTGCTCTGGTCACGATCGGAGGCGATCTCGGGCCTGCGGAGCTGTCCTCAGGACAGAAGGTACGTCCCCCAGAGCAGCCTGAACCGCCCCTCTTCTCAAGCGCAAGAAAATAGGAACTCGTCACGTCCGCAACGACCCTCGGCGCGCTGATCGGAGGCCTGGTCGCCGGCATGCTCAGCGACTTCACCGGCCGGAGACCCGTCCTCGCCCTCGCAGACATCATCTTCATCGGAGGCGCGATCGGCCAGGCCGTCTGCCACACCGTCTGGTCCATGGTCAGTCTCCAGCATGCATGCATCCTTCTTCCCAGGCTCATGCGTGAACTTGGACTTGGACATCTCGTGCGAGACAGATCGGCTGCCGCTTCCTCATCGGCATCGCCGTCGGGCTCGCGTCGTGCATCGCCCCGCTCTACATCCAGGAGCTCTCCCCCACGCGTCTGCGCGGCCGGATGGTCGTCGTGAACGTGGTCGCGATCACGGGGGGCCAGGTCGTTGCGTACGGAATCGACGCCGCGTTCGAGAACACCCGTGGGGGGTGGAGGTGGATGGTCGGTCTGGGGGCCGTCCCGTCCGGCCTCCAGTTCCTCTTCCTGTTGTTCCTCCCCGAGTCGCGTAAGTCTCCCGATCCCATGTCTATCATGAGTGCTTGCAATTTGACTGGGCTGGGTGATTTCAAGCGCGTATCATGATCAGAAGGGGGAACTCTGAGGCCGCACAGGCGATTATGGCTAAGATCTATGCTCACGCCACGCCGGAGCAACTCGACCTGAAGGTATGTGAAGGAGCTCATTTCCCATGCGCACGTCAACATAATGACTGCGCGTTCAGGTCAAGTCTCTGGCTGCTGCTGTAAAGCAGAGCGTCGAGATCTCGAACACGACCACGCTCTTGCAGCGCATACGCTTGATACTCTTCGATGGCATCAACCGCCGTGCACTCAGTGAGTCCTTCCCGGGTCTCCGCACGCGGATGAAGAGGCGGAGCTCACTATATGCGCCCTTTCTAGTCGTCGCATGCGGCATGCAAGCCTTCCAGCAACTGTGTGGTTTCAACACTCTCATGTACTATTCCGGTAAGCATCCTTGCTTCTTTCGACGCGCATAAGCTGACTCTATGCGCTATCTAGCCACCCTCTTCAAGGAGATCGGCTTCGACCAGCCCACGGCCGTCGGCCTCATCATCTCGGGCACGAACTTCATCTTCACGCTCTTCGCGCTCCAGTACATCGACATCATCGGCCGCCGCAGGATCATGGTCTGGACCGCCCCGGGCATGATCATCGGCCTCGTCCTCGCCTCCGTCGCCTTCCACTGTACGTCCCACCCTCTGCCCCTATTTCAATCGTCATATACTCCATACATGTACTAACGACTTGCACGCACGCCGCACGCCAGTCCTAACCCGCAAGACGGGCGGCGCCCTCGTCGACGGCACGCCATACTCGCACACCTGGTCCGCGATCGTCCTCCTCGCGATGATCTTCTACGTCGCGTCGTACGCGACCGGGCTCGGGAACGTGCCCTGGCAGCAGGGCGAGCTCTTCGGGCTCGAGGTGCGCGGCATCGGCACGTCGCTCGCGACGACCACGAACTGGGCGGGCAACCTGCTCATCGGCGCGACGTACCTCTCGCTCATGGACCGCATCACGCCCGCGGGCGCGTTCGGCTTCTACGCGGGCCTGTGCCTGCTCGGCTGGCTCTTCTGCGTGTGCTGCTTCCCCGAGACGGCGGGCCTGAGCCTGGAGGAGGTCCGGCTCGTCTTCAGGCACGGGTTCGGGATCGGGGAGAGCGCGCGGCTGAGGAGGGAGAAGCGCGCGTTGAGGAGGGGCGAGCGCGGGGAGAGGGACGGGGATGGTGGCGGGGCGGAGGAGAAGGCGTAGGGTAGGCCTTCGGGGTGACTGACTTATTATTGGATTGGAAATGATGCTCGCTTGCAAGGCCACGACTAGCATGTTTGTAATTCCTGGACACGACCTAATGGCTACGATTTGTACGATCTCTCGATCTGGGATGGCCCATAATGGGAGCAGTCGGGAACACGGAACGCGTTCTCGTTTCTGTGTCGCTGCCTGCGCAGGTTTCCTATGCCGGCGGTTGCCTAGAAGACAAGGAATAAATACACATACGTACGTGCATTGCATGAAGTGATACATGATATTCAAGAGCATCCGAGACATTGCTACAGTCAAGAAAGCACAGTATATTCCGATGGAGATGAATAACAGCTTGGACCTACAGTATGGCAGGTATTGGACACAAGGAGCACAGGGACAGGCAGGAGCGAGGATGTAACAGAATATGGACCATGAAGACAATTCCCAATGCAGATCGAAACGATGATGAGGGCCCGACCCAGAACACAGACGCGCAAGGGCAGCCAGAGTCAAGAGAGTAAGTGGGTTAGCAATGTGTGGTTGTAGGGTAACTGAAGAATGCAGGGCATATAGGTGCTTGCACGTACAGGCGGCCTGAGAGGCATATAGGACATATAGGCAAAAAAACACATACTGACGCGAAGGCGGGGGCGAGATACTACCGGAGGTCGACGATCTCGAGGGAGAGATCCCTCATTTGGACGTGGCTATTGTCGCAATCCTATACGATCGACCATGAGAGACATGACGGCAATATTAGAGAATGCAGCACTTACAGTGTAGATCGGGACGTCTGGGTGAGGGTGGAAAGCTTCCTTCGCACTGCAATCCAAGATGGTCTGCAATCCTCCAGGATCGGTCAATCGGAAGATACCAAATCTGCAGCAGGCGATCAAAAGAAGTTCCTATCGCATGACATTGCCTGGGACTCACTGCGGCGTTGAGGAGGGCGCGCACACGACGGCGAAGGACTCTGGCAACATGCGTTGGAAACCAGAATGAGTATGCAGATCCACAGACGACATGAAGCCTAACGCCTCGGTCAGCACGGTTGAACCTTAGGCCTGATACCTCGAACGGCGATCACTTACATGACTGCGTGGGATGCGTATGTATCTGCAAACAGGGACCACGGCATCAGTACGGTACTATCCCCAAGCCCAACAGAAAGTCTCGAATCCTCGAAGGAACCCTTTGAACTTACCCAACCGAGCGTGATCAGGTGCCTCTCCTCTGTGAACTGGAGCACGAGCTCCTCCTCGTCCATCATGCACGTGTCGCTCGTCGAGTGCTGCTTCGGGATCAGCAGCGTCGTGACGACGTACTTGGTTCCCTTGTCCTTGCCTAGCAGCAGCCCGCACGTCTCCCGGTTCTGGAGCGTGTTCACGCGCGCGATCGAGAGGAACTTGGGCAGGCACTCGCGCGGCAGCTTGATGGTCCGCAGCTCGCGCAGGCTCGCGTCCCGGGACGTGCCCGGGACGATACGCGCCGGGGCTGGGGCGCTCACGGTGCTCGACGTCGACTGTGAGGGGCGGTGGTATGCAGATGGGGGCTGGCCTGAGCGTGCGCTGTTGGGCGAGGGCCCGCGCTGCCCATTGGAGTAGGACGGGTTGTGGTTTTGTGTGTATGTCGAGGGCGGAGGATGGGGTGCCTGGTGGGATTCTGGCACGGGCATGTGAGTGGGGTACGGAGGGATTACTGGTGCGGGGACGACCGGCGCCGATTGTGAGGGAAGAGAGTGGTTGTACAGATTGTTGGCGCCGCTACTTTGAGGTTTGGAATCGAAGAGCAGAGATGAGTCAGGAGCCTGCGAGATAGAAGTGGCTGCGAACATGGACTGCAATGAGGGCACGTAGCCCTGCTTGAGCTGATGCTGTGACATCAGCGACGGGTACTTGACGCTGCCTAGTTCTGGTGGTGGCGGAGACGTGGTCGTGATTGGGGGTGGGTACACCACCCTGCAACTTGGCTTAGTACGCGTGTAATCGTGCACCAAGTAAGAGCCGACGTACCCTGGCTGTTTTGCCTTTGGTGTCTGCTCCGCGGCGCGCTGGCGGCTCCAAGGTACTTTTGGTCCCTCCACGTCCGTTGCTGAGTCGTCCTCGTACTTCGCCGGGCTCTCCAAAGGCATGACCGAAAGGCCCGTACTACTAGAGTACGACTCTGGCGGCCGCGAAGGCTGGGGCGCATACACCGAACGTCCCGCACTCCGCGGCGCATGCTCAGGCTCCGGCATCCGATACGGCGTTGAGCTCACACTCGACGGCAGGGGATTTGGCGACGGCGTGAGCCTCGTAATCTCTCTCCTCGCAAATCGCGCGGCCGCCTCGGCTTCCTGCTGCCTCCGCACGATCCCGTCCTGCTCCTGTCTCCGCCTATCATCTACGACCCTGCGCTTCGCGCGCTCTTCCTCCCGCCTCGCCTCCTCCGCCGCGTACCGCCTGTTCTCCTCTTCCCGTCTCTGTCGCTCGGTGAGCGGTCCTTGCTCCGCCCCTGCGGCCTCGCGTCTATGAGAAGCCTGTGATTGTCGCCAAGCCGCCTCCTCGCGCGCTTGTCGCTCCCTGTCCTCGGCCTGGCGACGGGAGAGGTCTTCCTGTTTCCAAGCTTCTTCCCTACGTGCGGCTTCTCGCGCCTCGCGCGCACGCTCCTCTTCGCGGGTGAGTGGGGGCTCGGCGGACGAGTCGCGGCTGGATCCTGGACTGCCGCGCTGAGCGGCTTGCCAGTTCTCGTATCGCTCGACGAGGACGGGCTTGAGTTGGCTCAGGCTGTCGAGGATGTCTTGTCCGTTCTATGAAGTTTGGTTCGTCAATAACCAGCCGACAGCCGAACATGGCCTCCCGGCCGTATTGTAGCGTGTCTTGATCACATAGTGATCTGAGAGAATAGATTCGGGCGTGTATTGACACGAATGCTGCTCGCTTCAGCCGACATGAGGTTAGCAGACACTGTCACCCGCTCCAACATACGCATCGGAATGACCTCGGGGATGTCTGGCTAGGCTGCAGCGAGCGCGATAAGTCCGCAGCACAGCGTGAAAATCGCGATGGCAGGACGCAGGCGGGCAACCGCAAGGAGCCCATGCATCACTGGAACAACAGGAAGTACGCGATTCTCGTGCCTGAAGGCCAGTTCTCAACAGGACGCATAGACGGCAGCAGCCTGAGAGTCGCAAGCCTTCGAATGAGGCCAGTGCACATCGCCCGAGATTGGTCGGCATGGTCGCGTCTGCCGCCCGCCACCGGCGGAACATGACCTTGTCCATAGCTACCTTTCATCAATAGTCCACGATGCAGTGGCCAAAATAATCCGACATCCTTGCAGCAGCGAGGCTAGCTGAACATGTTCACGAGAGAGAGTTGGCGTGCGCGCACACGATATCATATGTCCATCCTAGCCCGATCTGCATCGCCCTCTCGGCTAGCCCGAGGTAGTCCAATGGATGACGACATTCAATATACGGCACGAGAGGGTGGTCGCGATGGCTGACACCCCTTCATCAAGGACACAGAGAAGGAGATGAGAGACTTACCATTCCGAGGTTATGTCTCTGATCGGCGTTCAGTAGCGTCTGGTACTCCCTATGTGTCGGGAGCTTCTCCAGGACGATCGTGGCGGCCTTGGCGTATTCAACGAATGCACGCTCATAGTCATTGGACTGCAGCAGTGCTTCTGCGTTCCTTCTCGACTTCTCAGCTGTGCGCAGCCAATGTTTGAGGCCCTTTGCAGGATCCCAGAGGTTCTCCTGCGCTTGCGCGGCGAGTTCTGCGATGGTGGCAGGACGGTAGTAGTTGGAGCGAGAAGAGCTAGGCCCTGCGCCTGCAGAAGGTTGAGAAGGGTATACAGCAGAGCTCATGGTGGATGGTGGGAGACGGAGACGAAGGAGAAGGAGTCGGGCGAGGTGCAGTCGCTAAGCGGCAGGCATGGGCATCCCGGCGGTACCGCCGCAGTCCGGCCTTCACGAAGGTCACACAGTGGTCACGCTACTGTCACGCCCAGCGAGGCTCTTTAGGCGCCCCCGGCACCCTTCCAAGCGCCAGCGTTAATATCAATCAATGCCAAGCGCGCGCCGGACGCTGTCTGGTCACTGACAGGCACGTCCAGCTCCTCCTTTCCTCCATCAACCAGTCCGCTCTTTTACCACCACAGCGCGCGCCAGGTCGGCCAGGTGTCGAGCACTCCTGTTCCCACTGCCAGCTTCGGTCTCGCCAGCCAGCCTATATAACTCATCACGCTATTGGCTTCGCCGACCGCTACCCAATAATGTACGACGGACTCTCAGGCCAGAAGAGGGGCCTTCTCTTCTTCGCTGCGGTCGTGATCGTCTTTATGCAAGGCGGTCTTTGGTCAGCCCGACGAAGGACTGTCGATAACTTCCCGGACGATGCCCTGGTCGCCTCCACTTCCCGCTATCTCTCCTTTGCATGGTCGAACTCGCGCCCGACGATCAAGGAGCACCCAATACCGGGGCTTATGGCGGAGGCTGAAAAAGCCTTTCGCGAGAAGCTATCACGACAGAGCAAGACTCTCGAGGACGCCGTCGCGGAGTACCAGAGGAGGTACGGCAGGAAGCCCCCACGCGGTTTCGATGATTGGTGGAGGTTCGCGCAGGAGAACGACGTGCTCATGATCGACGAGTACGACAATATCGACGAGGACCTCGCGCCGTTTTGGGAGATCACCGGGGAGCAGCTTAGGTGGCGAGCATCTGTCGTATGTGTTCCGATGGGGCTGCTACCTTGCATCACGTCCTCTCACTACCACATGTACTCCTTCTGCAGGCAGGTCATTTGCCATTCGTAGACGTGGTCCGCGTGCGGTCCGGAGAGGCCACAGCGGTGAACATCCTCGACGGCGAGGAAAGCGAGGATGTCAGCGCACGCGCGAAGGGCTTTTTGTCCGCTCTGAAGGGCTTCCAACATAAAGTGAGTCTCCTATGCTTGTACGGAATTCGCTTCATTAGCACTCGAGATGAAAGTGTGCATGGTTCCCCGCGCTATGTGTCCTCTTGATGTCAGGGATACCAACGAGAAGCTATGTCCTGTGCGTATCGCAGGTCTCCGCCCGGCTCCAGAGCGGCGTTTGTCACGCCCTGCGAGTGAGTTTTGCAAAGAGCATAGCCCATGTGCGCACTCAAGGCAAGGCTCAGTTAGGCTTGCGCATCCAACTGCTCTTGAACACGCATAGTCTGTCATGTACGTGTTTCGACTGAGACAACATCGAAACCGTGGTTGTTGGCTGCATAAAGCGGCCGCACCATACTCCAAAGCTTGTCGGTGGGATGCTATGTGAGATTGTAGGGGACTGTGGTGGATGTGCTCAACTGATTCTCACTCACCAGTCTCACCTAGCTATATGCGTCTGCAGTGGCCATCGCAACTATTCGAACCTGCGATGGGCACCGCAGGCAGGAACGACCGGGGAGAATGGTGTTCTATCCCGTTCAATACAGGGGAATGTGTACCGAGCCGCTGGCTGCTCAGGAATACCGTCCGCGGTATACTATGGGCAGCTCATAACATGATCTACTTGTGGGGAGCTTGCTTTCGCAATGGCCTCAGAGATTACCAACGCTCACCTTCGATTATGACATCCTGGCCGTGTTCTGCGGCTTCTTTGGTCAAATTTGTTGACGGCTTCTCCAGCTACCGGACCTAGAGTTCCCAATTAATGGCATGGCAGAAAGTCGCGTGCTTGTCCCATGGGAGCGTCGAATACAGTCTAATGCGACTCTGCATTCCAACGTTGGTACGTCCATCATGCCAAATCGACATCCGTTCCACACTTACCTGGGCATAGACGCGATCATCGAGGAGCTTAGTGGCACGCGTGACCCGGACTGGCGTGGTGAAGGTAACGTCTGGGAGGCGTTTAGGAGAACATGCGAGCCTGGTACTGCTGCACGTCAGCTCTTCAGCTCCTTCCGTGCCCTCCAGTCCTCTGTGAACCAGACGAGCAGACTTACCGCTGCGAGCGACGACTTCACCTTCGCGTGGACCACGGCAGGCAACTACTCGTTCTGCAGCAACCCGTGGGCGCACTATAACCAGGGGCATTTCTTCTCCGACTGGCGAACCATCGGTGCGGTCTTCCCAATTTTCTCTCCCGCGAAGGCATCAGGCTACCTCGATATCCGGATACCAAGCCATTACTACTACGCGCAGACGCGCAGGTACACGTACGGCTGGGACTCGGTTAATCTGCAGCTGAAGGACGTAGACGACATGGAGACCCCGTGGGAGGAGAAAAGTGACAAGATATTCTGGCGGGGGGCCTCGACCGGCGGCGGCAGCTCTCCCCCGGGTTTCGCGGCGCAGTACCAACGTCACAGGTCCGTATTCTCCGTTCCGAGTTCCAGACGTGCACATGTTTTCGTGCGCATGCTCACCCCTCACGATGGATCAAAGATTCGTTCGCCTAGCGAGCGACCAGTCTTCCGTTAACCGGACGATCGTGTTCGCTGATCCGCCGGGGTCCACCAACTATATCTACGCGGACGTGCATGCAGGCGCGCTGAACAACGAGATTATGGACGTCGCGTTCGTCAAGGTCATCGGGAGCGAAAACTACCCTGGGGGACATGACGCAATGGTGCGTTTCCACCGCATCGACGACAATGGAGTAAACCTCGGCGATCACTGGAAGCACAAATACATCGTCGACCTGGACGGCATGGGCTACTCGGGACGGTTCTTCTCATTCATGGAGTCGGACAGCGCGGTGCTCAAGGCAACGGTCTACCGCGAGTTCTTCTCGGATTGGTTGCAACCCTGGTGCGTCATCGACCCCCACCGCGTGACCACACCCATAGCTCATGCCCGAACGACACGTTCTGATTTCATGTATTTGACCGGTCCGTAGGCTGCACTACATTCCGCTGTCGCAGTCGTATGCTGAGATTTACAACATCCACGCGTTCTTTTCTGGGGCGACGGACGCCACCCTGCGTGCGGCGAACGCGACTGCGCTGACGCTGTCCGCAGAATACCGCGCCACAAAGAGCGTGGACGGGGACCGTAGGCTAAGGCGCATCGCACGTGCCGGGAAGCAGTGGAAACGGACCTTGGGGAGGAGAGTGGATATGGAAGGTACGTGCCTTGGTTCAATGCTCTTTCATTTACAACGCTTTCTGTTCCTACACCCACGCCACGATGCCTCCTTCCCTCATCGCTACCCCTCTTCTCTGTCAGCCCATCACCCTCTTCTTGTTCTCCCTGCTGCTTGCCTTCTGCCGTACATCTCGCCCATCCCGTTAATTTGCCACTCCCATTATTAAGCGGATCAAAGAGCAGCTGCTGACTTCCTCGCTCCGTACGTGCAGCATACATTTACCGCCTGTGCTTGGAGTACGCCAGGCTGGCTTCGGATGACCGGGACGCGATGAGCTTCAGTATCTGAGGCTTGACAGCCCCCCGTCTCGCTTGCCGTGGTCATCTGCGCGGCGCCCGCCCATGATCCATTCACATGCCCCGTCCAATCCACCACGCCTTTGGCCGCTGTCGTCGCCAGTCACCGATTGTTTATCGGACATTTCTTCACGTCCATCCCTTTTGATGCACCTTTAATGGTTCGGCTTGGTCTCCTGCTGTAACTGCTTCTGGTGGCCTTGCCGCGCGTGCTTCCGCCTCGCCTTAGGTTTGCCGAGTAGCTTTGGGTTTATTGCTGGATCCCATCACACCGTAGAGTACTATCCTAGGAAAGTGTACAATAGCTGCATGGCTGCGGGCCGTATATTTAGAACCTCCCCGGCAACGCATTACGAGATAGACCCTTGAGTAGCGGTTGGGAAGCTCAGGGTTCTGGGGCCCCAGCATGTGTAGATCGTCCTCAGAAGAGACGGATGGGGGCGAATCTCATGCTTGTAGACAGAACCTCCGGCGGGCGCTCGATGAGGACGCCGTTCTGTCGTTCAGAGCTTGAACTTGGCCGCAGTGCGATGACTCCTTGCGCCACGAACCGCCCAAACGCCCTGGCCACATCCATCCCTCTCTTGGCCATATCTTCGAGATCGTCCCATCCTGCGCCGCTCGGCAGGCCCGCGGACGTTGTCAGCGGTGAGAAGCCTCAGGATCATCGATAAGTATGGTAGTTCCCAACGCCAGGTGTGGCCGACTTGCTTCCTCAAGTTCATCCGGGCGATGTGAACGATGATGGCCAGGACTTACTCCGGGCCAAAGAACAACGCTTTCGCGCATTCAATCACATCCAGGGCAGATGGGAACTTTCTGTGGACGGCGATAGCGATCTTCCACGCAAACACGCCTCCTCCTCGTGGCCGTCGCGCGACGGCTGCTCAGACTCCGCCGTCACTGCCGTAGCGTGGTGCTCTCAACTCTGGAATCTGGAGCGCGACCACTGGGGCTGTGGGAGGCCCCTCTCCCTTACGTGGCCGGTCTAGACTGCCGCGAATGCGCGAAGCACACCGCTTATGTTTGGCGAAAGGTACTGTCGTTATTGGGACGTATACTGCCTGCTGGTGCTCACTTTAGTTGTCTAGGAACAAGCCTAGAGAGTCGCGACCGGACCTGTGAATGAAGAAAGGCATCCCCTCGCCTCCCGCAGCCTGCCGGTCTTTCAAGCTCAGCATGGCTGCAATTCGTTCAAGCATGCACATTGCAGCCAATCTATCGCGTCGACGCATGTGGACATCCCCGAACCCAGCTGCTAGCACAGTTATCGCGATTGAGTTCGTGCGGACATCTGCTACGTTGCGATCGTGCTCACGCCGTGTCCGTATGTGTGCCAGTGGCGAGCTATGAATGTTCCGGGCGGTGATATCCCATCGGAGGAAAACACGTTTGGGCAACGTGTTGTTGCGGAAGATACGATCGCGCTCGCCCTTTTTATGTGTGCACTCCCCCTGCGCACTGTCGTCATAAGACCCGGAAGACCCTGCCCAGGCGCGCTGCTGCCTGATATACAGTCCGTGTGGCCTGTGCTGTTCGCGCTGCTGGCTCTTGCATCCTGATCCTAGTATCCTTTGTTATCGTGGGTCCGGCCTCTCCCACTCTGCTTTGTCCTCTGCTCTGCTCAACGAACTCTAGCAAGATTCCTCGCTACTCGGCGCCGCCCCTGGACTATCACCACCACCATATCGCTTTGCGGATCCCGAGCGTCCGCTGCCGACCCCAGCAATGCCTCTTTCAACGATATCCAGCATGTCCTCCCCTGCACCCAGCCGATACCCTGACCTGCCTCCAGCACGTACACAAAGTCTATCCGAATTTGAGGTCGAGCAGCGCAGACAGCCGTTCAGCCCCACAAAAAGCAGGAGAAGAGGTTCCGATCCTGAGCATGACAAGGAGATCGCATATCGCTCAGCAATCGCAGCTGTCATCAGCGCAAAGGCGCGCCCTTTCGCCGTGTCGGGGCGGGTGCCTATGGACCCCGCGCACCTGACTCTTTTCTTCCGTACACAGGTTAGTACATAGTTTTGTCGTGTGCGCCGCCCGCTCTCTTCACGCGCACGCGTGGGAGGTGCGCACAAGCCTGAAGTGTACTGGATGTGATGCTGACGATCTTCTGTCCCTGCGCTCTGCCTGCGCTCGATCAGAGCGGAATCAGCCATTCGTTGGACTTTCCAATCGATGTGGACGTTGACATGCCCCCCGCGCTAGACGTACTCATCGCGTCGTGCCTGCCGCATGCCCAGATGAGCGAGTACGCCGAATGCGAGACGCTGTTCTATCCGCCAAACCTACCACTCACCGCCACGCTCGAGCTCGCAAACCACCCCATCCTCGAGGCCGTGCGCAATTCGCTCTTCCCCGCACTACCTGTTGGCCACTACCTCACCGCCATCCGAGACAAGCTTGAGGTCTGGCCAGCAGGGGGCGGGTCTATCATCCAGCCTCGCCCGCTCGATACCCGCATCGCGACCATCCTTATCACGCTACCTGTGAAGTTCAAGGGCGGCTCGCTCATCGTGCGTGGGACGGAAGGGATCGAGGAGCGGTTCTCCGGGCGAGGGCGCCCGGGGGAGCTGGAGTGGACGGCGTTCATGTCGGACTGCGAGCACGAGATGCAGACGGTCAGGAGCGGGTGCAAGATGACGATCTCGTACGCGGTGCAGGTCAAGTCGTTCGGGCCCGCGGGCATCCAACCCGACCCGCTCATCACCCCGAGCGACGCGTTCCTCGATAACCTGTCCCCGTTGCTGAACATGTCCCGCGGGAAGAGCATCGCGTTCTATCTGAGTGGAGGGTACGGGGTCAATCCTGGGGAGGTGGTCGCGGAGTCGCTGGTGCCTAATGTGAGTTCTTCCGTGTTATTTCTCCGTGATGCATACAATGGCTGATACCTCAATAACCAGCTCAAGGGCGGTGATTCTATACTGTACCACGCGCTGAAGCTCTACAAGCTTGCGCCCGAGCTCCGCTGGACAGCAGGCGGGTACATCTGGCCCGTCGACCAGACGGTGGAGATCGGGCTCGAGAACCCGGAAAGCCCAACGACGTCCGTCGGGCGCGGGTCGCTCTCGGGCTCGAGCAATGGCTCGCGCGGCATGCCGCCCCTACGCGGCCCTTTCAGCTCGTCTGCTTCGGAGCCGGGAGAGGAGGAGCTCGAGGGCCTGCGTGCGCGGGTTCTGAAGAGCGGGGCGATCCCGATCACCGACACCGACATCCGCATACTGTCGGACCAGATCGCGTTCCCGGGCGTGATCGCACGAGAAAAGGTGCCGTTCGTGTCGTCGGTAGGCGACATGGAGAAGCTGGTGGTGAACGTGCTATTGGTGGTGTACGTACCGTAGGAGTTGGACTTGGTCAGAGTTTCTTTTGGTTGGCTCGCTGTTGCTTTCCTCCTTGCTTTGTTATTGGCTTGGTCTTGCGGACATTGTTGTATTACTAGCAGTGTATCATAGGGCCTTTCTGTCGTGCTAATACTCTTGCACATGACGATGTATACCCCGCGTGCTTGCAATGGACCGAACCTAAGCTAGGGACGGTATCGGCGGCGGAGCCGACCGTAGAGACGCTGGCCAATAGAAATACGCTAGATTACAGTGGCCAATGAGGCGGGGGCGGTTACACTCGGCGAAAGCCGGAGTTTGGTCATCGTGTTGGGCGACGAGCGCGACGTCTTGCACTCTTTCGTCGCCGTGAGCACTCCGCCGACGTGCGCACTTCTCTTCTGTACACCCCCTCTCGACCTCTCTCCGGCTTAGAGCCATGCTCCGGCTTGTGTCGTCGGCCTCAAGGCCTTCGTCGGCGGGCGTGCTCGCCAAGGTCGCTGCAGCCCCGTCGTCGACGCGCCCAGGTATTCCTCCCAGCTTGTTCGTTTTTAGTGATTTGGTGATTAAGCAGCAGCCGCGACCATCTCGTTGGATAGGTCGTCGGACGTTCGCTTCCTCGTCTGCGAGACAGGCGGACATCACGCTTACCGTTGACGGGAAGGAGGTTACCGTCCCGCAAGGTGCGTATCTGGACACATCCTTCTGAGGCTTCGCATCGGGTTTTGAGATGCGGACGTGTAGGTTCTGCGTTGATCCAGGCTTGCGAGGCTGCAGGAGCAACAATACCAAGGTGTGTACCATCCTATAGTTCTATGGGCTTGCTTCGCTGACGTTAATTTAAGATTCTGTTACCACGACCGACTCGCCATCGCAGGTAACTGCCGGTACGTGCTGTAGGATATCCATGAGACATCCGGAGGGCTTATATGCGTTGCAGTATGTGCTTGGTCGAGGTAGAGCGATCACCAAAACCCGTGGCCTCTTGGTGAGTAGCTCGTTCTTCGTACGCTAGAAGCATCTCATATCTGACCCACTTCTAGTGCTATGCCCGCCATGCCTGGTGCAAAGGTATTTACAAACACCCCATTGGTCCATGAAGCCCGGTATGTGCAAAACCACAACCCAGCCTACGTCCAATAAGGTATACTAATGACTAAACAGTGAGGGCGTCATGGAGTTCTTGCTTTCAAATCATCCTTTAGACTGCCCCATCTGTGATCAGGGTGGTGAGTGCGACCTACAAGATCAGTCCATGCGGTACGGCGCGGACAGGACACGATTCCACGAGATTGCTGGCAAGCGCGCGGTCGAGGACAAGGATCTCGGCCCTCTTGTCAAGACCTCAATGAACCGCTGCATCCAGTGCACACGATGTGTTCGGTTCGCGAACGAAGTCGCAGGCGTGGAGGAGCTTGGTACAACCGGTCGTGGCAATGACCTGCAGATTGGCACGTACGTCGCGAAGACGATGAATTCGGAGCTTTCTGGCAACGTCATCGACCTCTGTCCCGTTGGTGCGTTGACGAGCAAGCCCTACGCTTTCCATGCACGTCCATGGGAACTCAAGACCACCGACTCTGTTGATGTCCTGGACGCTGTTGGCTCAAATATTCGTGTTGACTCCCGCGGCGTTGTCGTCATGCGCGTGCAGCCGCGCCCAAACGATGACGTTAACGAGGAGTGGATTAGCGACAAGACTCGGTATGCCTATGATGGCCTGCGCTTCCAACGTTTGACCGTCCCTCTTGTCAAGCAAGGCGACCGATTTGTTACTGCGTCCTGGGAGGACGCTCTGACCGCCATCGCGGAGGGACTCAAGAAGTCTGGTGCCAAGGGCAATGAGATCAAGGCCATTGCTGGTCACCTCGCCGATACCGAGTCACTTGTCGCCCTCAAGGACTTGATCAACCGCCTTGGCTCCGACAACACTGCTCTAGATGGTGTCAACGGTCACGCCGCGCCGATCCACGCCGTTGACGTCCGCTCCAACTATTTGTTCAACTCGACGATCCCTGGTGTCGAGCAGGCTGATGCGATCCTCCTCGTTGGTACCAACCCGCGACACGAGGCGGCCGTCCTCAACTCGCGTATCCGTAAGAGCTGGCTGCACACCACGCTCGAGGTGGGCCTGATCGGTGAGCGGGTGGACACCACTTACGGCTACGACTATCTCGGCAGCGACGCGAAGGCTGTGGCCGACTTCGTTGCTGGCAAGGGCGAGTTCGCCAAGAAGTTCAAGGCGGCGAAGCGTCCTTTGATCATCGTCGGCAGCTCGCTCGTCGAGCACGCGGACGGGGCTGCGGTCTACAACGCGCTCGCCAAGTTCGTCGAGGCGAACAAGGAGAAGCTTGTGACCCCTGAGTGGAACGGTTTCAGCGTGCTCCAGCGTGTGCGTGTTTCGTCGTCATTGTAGGTGCGATCGCGATGTTGACGGGATTGTTGTGTTGTGCAGGCTGCTTCTCGTTCGGCCGCGTACGATATCGGTTTTGTCGCGTCGAAGAAGGCGTCCACCACGAAGCCAAAGTTCGTCTACCTCCTCAATGCCGACGACGTCGACCCCAAGGACATTCCCCAGGATGCCTTTGTCGTCTACCAGGGACACCACGGTGACCTCGGCGCTCAGCTCGCTGACGTCGTCCTCCCAGGCTCCGCATACACAGAGAAGGGTGTTACCTGGGTAAACACTGAGGGTCGTGCTCAGCTTGGTCGCGCTGCCGTCCCCCCTCCGGGTGCCTCGCGAGAGGACTGGAAGATCATCCGGTACGTCTCCTCGCATTCGTACAACGTCACTTGTAATTGACAGCGCATGTAGTGCGTTGTCCGAGATCGTCGGCTCGCCGCTCCCCTACGACGACGTCCTCAGCCTCCGGGACCGCATGTGGGAGATCTCGCCAACGCTTGTCCGCTACGATACTGTCGAACCCACGTCTGTCGACGTCGCCCTCGCTGGCCTGAAGGCCCTCACTGCTGGCACCGCCAGCGCGAAGGTCACCGGCGCGCCTCTCAAGAAGCCCATCGAGAACTTCTACCAGACGGACCCGATCTCGAGAGCGTCGGTGACGATGGCGCAGTGCACGCGCGCATTTGTGAAGGGGGAGGACTACGGGTTCACGCCGCTGTCGAGCGCTGCTGAGTCTGCCTTTGCATGATGGATGTGTAGATCATGAATGATATAGCCCATCATTTTTCTCTCTCCATGTTTCTTCACGCGAGCCTGGAGCGTTATCCAGTTGGCTGGTGCTTCGGCGGTTGCCATGAGGTCCCATGTCCTCGTGTCGTAGTTATCGGTCTCTTTTTGCGCGATGCACATAGTACTGCTTTTGCAACTGGTTACGGATCTCTACGCTGGGACGGTGGACCGGAGACGCTCGAAGGAATTGTCTGGCTTGCCATTTGGGGCAGACAGCATTTGATAGCCACGTGGAGAGCAAGTCATCCCCCTACACCAACAGCGGGCGGGGCACGCTCTTATTGGTAGTGTAGTTCGCCAGCAAGCACAAAGCATGCCGTTCACCCAAGAGCAGATCGAGCAAGAGCAAACCCACTTTGCGAACGTCATCACGACTTTCCAGCAATACGCACCTAACGCGGTAGGTGGACTCGCATCCATAGACTCCGAAGGAAAAGTTTATATAATGCCTCATCCTCATCCTCGATAGCTGAACGCGAACAACAAGCGCAGAAAAGACTTTCATACTCTCCCGATTGCAGACAGGGAGCTTCTCACCTCCCTCGGGTACAAGGACCGAATATCTGCCGTCGACCATGCCATTTTCGTGAATGCCGAATTTCTGAACCGTGTCATCGCGAGCCCTGATATCTTCAGCGGCGGAGGGCCGGACGAAGACGAGGACGATCCGGAGATGAAGGGCAACGATCAAGACGACTCTGACGACGACGATCCCGGCCATGGGTCGGGTCCCGCAGGTACGTGAAATTTGTCCACTAGGTCTGAATGCCCGCGCTCACGGATAGTCCGGTAGGCCGTGGAAAGAGCCATTCACACTCTCACTCTCACTCTCATGGCCATGGTGCTCACCCTCATGCTCATGGCTCACATGACCACAGTCATGAATCGCCGTCTGGAGGGGACGGCAGTCAGACGCAGCAACGCAAATATCGGCCCACAGAACATGACATGGACAAATTGCGCAGTACGCTCAAGCAGCTCGTCCGCGATTGGAGCATGGAGGTACATGTGAATCAATCGTCATGCTATCGGAGCTACAGCTAATCTTCGTATGTTAGGGAAAGGCGGAGCGCGACCTATGCTACGAACCCATAAAAGAAGCTCTAATCCAACACTTTTCCGACATCCCGCAGGAAGAGAGGTATGATCCTCACAAGTCAATGTTGGACGCATCTTCTGATTCTGTACAAACTTCTGTTACGCAGGAGAAACTTCCGAGTGCTCGTACCCGGCGCAGGACTCGGCCGACTAGCTTGGGACGTAGCCAAGCTCGGTCAGCAGCAGCCGTTGATATTCCGGGGGAGGGTTTGCTAAGACCTCTGTCAAACAGGATTTGCGTGCCAGGGCAACGAGTTCTCCCATTACATGCTCCTGGCCTCGTTCTCCATGCTGAACAGGTAGCCACATTCTTGCGGACCAGTCGTCGGACCCCTCTGATCTCCTGCGCCGCAAAGGACCGATGCCATCCACAAACACACCATCTACCCATACGTCCACTCTTTTTCCAACAACCCGAACACCGATGCCCTGCTCCGTCCTATCCTCATCCCAGATGTTTTGCCGTCCTCCTTGCCTGAGGGAGCGGACTTTTCTCTGGTTGCAGGTTCGCCAGACGTCCAGGGTGACCGTCAGTTCCTCTGACACCTTTGACAGGTGATTTTGAGGAGATCTACGGCGGTTCCGACAACCTCGACGAAGGCGATCCCTCAGTAGGGCAATGGGATGCAGTATTAACGTGCTTCTTCATCGACACTGTACGTTTCGCGATGTCCACCGTCTCGTGTGAGTTGGACTTACCGTCATGCAGGCGAAAAACATCGTGGATTACCTCCGGGTCATCCACCGCATCCTCGCCCCCGGCGGCGTGTGGATCAACCTAGGTGCGTGCCCCCTCCGCCTGTCGTGACCTGTCGAAATGAACGCCCCGCATGCGACGCGGCAGGCCCGCTGCTCTGGCACTGGGAAGGAAACACGACGAACGACCCCTCGGTAGAGCTCACGCTGGACGAAGTCAAGGCCCTCGCGCGCAAAATCGGGTTTAAGATATCCGTACGTGTCGCGCCCGCTCCGCTCTCACCCTCCTAGTTACTCTGCACATCCCTCTCCGCGTGCTGACAGTGCTGTCCGGAACAGAACGAACGGACTATCGATACGACGTACACAAACAATGCCCAGAGCATGCTTGGCTATGTGTACCACGCTGCCTTCTGGACGGCGACCAAGGTCGTTTAGCGGACTAGTGGGGAGGGTTCGCTGACGCACTGGCGTACCTCCAGGTTGCGACCTGCGCACGGCACGTTGACCCCACCTGAGACAGGACAATACGTAACAAGCAACAGAATTGCATTATAATTCTACCACGGCTACAGCTGGCAGATCGTACGCTAGGAGTAATCGTGATACTGGAGACTTGGTGTTGTGAATGACGAGGATTGAATTGAAGGACCGGATGTCTACGTTTTCGACGTGAACGATCGTGAGCCACTAAACGGGGCGATTCTATGAAGCAAGTCCGATGTTGTCTATATATAGTGGACTTTGGGCATGAAGTGCGATACGATTGTTGTAGATCTAGACTTATTTCCTGCGAGTGAAGATAGCACCCTTGCGTATCCGGAAGATGAATGTAAACAGGTAGATAGCGAAGACCTAGGTGGACACGGTCAGCTCCCATGGCTGCACTTGAATAGGAGAATGCAAACTCACGTTGAAGCAAATGAAAGCAAGGAAGATACCGAGGTTACGCCAATGATGCGAGTAGTAGACGTTGAAATTGCCCTCGAGGAAGCCGTCCGTGGAATCGAACTGGCAGAAACTGCAGCTGTCGGTCGCGTTCGGGTTCGTGATGTACCCGCCGTTCGCCGAGATGTACGGACCCATGTATTGCTGGCAAGTCTGCCCGGAGGGCGGCGTGATCTGTACGAGTTCGATGTCCGAGCAGTGGATGGGCAGATGACCCAGTGCCTGACCCAGAAGACCCTCCACAAGGTACGTGAACGGCGACAGGTGATACATCCACTTCCACCAGCCGAGCAGCCTGAATGGTTGCAAGACACCGTTGCTGCGATGAGAGCGTCAGCAATAACCACATAGATAAAAATGGAAGGGGGACGTACAAAGTAAGCACGAAAGAGAAGAGGAACGAGAAAAGAAGGGCTGCGATCTCGGCAGAGGGCGCCATCGCAGCGACGGCCTGGCCGATAGTAGTATAGTAGAGCGGGAAGATGACTCCCATGAAGAGGTAGGTGAAGCCTGCCCGATCTGTGGGGAAGCCGACGGTCCAGTACCAGCAGAGGAAGTACAGCGACGTGCCCAGCATGTTCCATGGGACCTCGATTAGGATTTGAGATGTCACGAGTGCGGTCCAGCTGTACATCCGGCTGTGCTGCTCGCGCACTTCGTAGATCTTGCGGATGTCGATGAAGGGCACCTGAAGCTGGTTCGAGAGGGGGACAGACAGTATCAAGGACATGAAGATCGAGAAGAGATGGTTCTGGCTGCCCTGGATGGTCGTCTTGGCCTTGAAGAACGTGAAGCCGATGAGGAGCGCGGAACCGACGTTGAGCGCGAGCTTCGCGATGAGGTAGACCGGGTCACGCCAGTACGCTTCGCCGTTGCGCTTGAGCAGCAGCACCAACTGGTAGGTCCACGCAGTCGGGTACTCCTTCTTCAGGCGCGCCTGCACTGGGGGCTTCTGGCGGCCCTCGGTGTGGATGCGCTCGAGCTCGGCCTGCACCTTCTCCGACTCGGGCGACTTGAGCCAGGTATCGTGCCAATCAACATCGGTAGTCGCCGTTGCTCCAGCACCAATAGCCTCGAGGATGTACTCTGCCGGGTTCTCGGTATCGGAGCACTTGCGTGCGCCGTTGCGCTCGAAGTACTCGATCATCGTCGTGGACCGTGGACCGATGTCGCCAAAGTAGACGGTCTGGCCGCCCTTGCGGAGGAGCAGGAGACGGTCGAACACCTGGAACAGCTCGGCGGACGGCTGGTGGATGGTGCAGATGATCGCCTGGCCGCTGTCGGCGAGGTCACGAAGGAAGCTGACGATCGCCCAGGCACTCTGCGAGTCAAGACCGGAGGTCGGCTCGTCCAAGAAGATGAGAGACGGCTTCGCGACGAGTTCGACAGCGATGGTGGTACGCTTGCGGTGCTCGACCCCGAGCGAACCGACGATAGCGTCACCGTACGCCGCGAGGCCGCACAGGCCAAGGACCTTCTCCACATAAGCCTTCTTCTCTTCGAGCGGGACCTCGGGAGGCTGACGGAGCTGTGCGGAAAACAGAAGCGCCTCGCGTACGGTAGCGCTAGGCAAGTGTGTGTCCATCTGCTGACAATAGCCGGTGTGCGCCTGGAAGTCCGGAGGGAGAGGGTGGCCGTTCATGTAGCGGTTTCCGGTCACGACACCGCTCGTAGTCCGCTCGGCGAGGACATTGAGCAAGGTAGTCTTTCCGGCGCCGGACTCGCCCATCAGCGCCGTCAGCCTGCCGGGAGGAGCGTATCCGGAAACATCGTCCAGCAGCTGCCTCGTCTTGCCTCCACCAACGGGCACAGTGTAATTGAGATGGTGGAACGAGAACGTCTCATGAACTTCCGGCATAGCGTCCTTGAGGTCTGCGCCGTGCAGGCCGTTGTCCGCCTCGTCCGGATGCGCAGGAGCCCCGCGACCGCGACCCTTCTCCTCGTCGGACGCCGTATCCTGCTCAGCGGCACGCACGACGTCGGACTTTGAGCCACGCTTGAAGAGGGTCACAGTCGACTGGCCCTCCAATGTCTGGTTGACCTCGTACAGGTAGAGCAGGACGCAGATGAAGAAGAGGCCGAACGCGCAGATGATGCCGAAGTTGCGCCAGATGTGGCTGTAGCTGTAGTCGAACGACGCCTGGACGTAGGCGTCGCCTCTGACAATCAAGGAACCAGGCGTAGAGCCGACGGTCGTGCAGACTTGGTTTGCGAGCGCGACGTTCTCGTACCCAGGGCCCTGTGGGACGAGGTTGGCGCAGGTCCCGTCGAGGCCGTGGAACTCGTTCGTGATCAGGCCCTCGAAGCCGTAGTGAATAGGCTGCAACGCGGGTTGGACCGTTAGTCATGTTTTTCTCTTCCGCGCAGCGAACGATGACCCACGTTGATCCAAGTGATCCACTTCAACGCTCCAATCATATACGGTTGGGGCAGCGAATAACCGGTGTAGAGAACCAGAATGAAAGTGCTGAAACCGGCGACGGTCGTAGCAGGCGCGGGGCTCTTGAATGCCGCAGCGATCATGCGGAACCAGCTCTTCATCGTGATTGTCGCAGCGAAGGTGAATAGCAAGAAAATGCTGCAGATGCATCGTCAGCATATATTCCCCGGCCACCAGTCAAGAGAGACTTACAAAAACTTGTCGGCCTGTTGCTGCAACCCGACCAAGAAATAGAGCACAATAGCGAACACGGACTGCGTGACGAACGTAATGGGCACGTCCACGAGCGTGAGCGCGAGGCCCTCCACGAACGGGTGGTACATCGCCGCCCTCGACTGCCGGTGGACGATCGGCCGCTGCGCGAACAGCGCCGGGATCTCCGCCATCGTCGACAGCGCCGCGAACATCAGCGAGAAGAACAGCACACCACCCCTTGAGAAGTACGCGGACGTGTTCGCCTTGAGCCGCAGGAACGTCGTGCCGACGATGACCGCCTGGAGCACGAACGAGACAATCTGCACGACCTGCGCGGCGATCCCGCCGCCGAGGATCTGCACGCGGCGGCGCATGAGCGCGCGCGCCTGCATCGGGATCGACGCGATGTACGGGCTGCCCGGGCGCGTGTGACGCGCGTACTCGAGCTTCGCGCTCGACTTGTAGTGCGCGACGCGCTCCGGCTTCCCGGTGTACTCGGCGACGTACGCGTCGACGTCCTCGCTGTTGCCGCGCCCGAGCTGCGACTTGCGGAAGTGCTCGGCAAACTCGTCGGCCGTGCGAGGGACGCGGTGCTCGTAGCCCTCGCGCACGATGCGTCCGTTGGGATCGGTGACTGCGGGGACGGTGAGCAAAGGCCCTGAGCGACGATAAGGCATGTAGACTCACCGGCAACGAGGAAGTCAGCAGTCGTCTGACGGTTGGCGGGCTCGAAACCCATGTCAATGAAGTACTGGCGCGCCTGATTTGCAGGGCCCATGTACACCTGCCGGCCCTCGTAGATCACGCAGACCTTGTCGAAGTGCTCGTAGAGCTGCTCCCCGGCCTGGTAGATCGCAACGATGGTCGACTGACGGAAGACGTCAGTGGCTATCCGGAGAGCTTCCACGAACTCGAGGGCGGTCGAAGCACTGAAAAGTAGCGGGTCAGATCGCACGAAATAGCGGCTGGGATGACGGGACATACTCAAGACCACGCGTGGAATTGTCCCATGAGTTCAGGAGGGAACGAGCGACCAACGCCTCGCCGATCGAGACACGCTTCTTCTCACCGCCAGAGACACCGCGGATAGACGCGTCCCCGACAAGCGTGTTCTTCACGTGCCGTAGACCGAAGACGGTCTCGATCGTCTCGACAATGTGCGCTACATGTTCCTCTCGAGGCAGGTTGTCGAAGCGCGTGTGGGGCGTCCGGGTGGTGGCGGCAAAGCGAAGCGTCTGGTCGACGGTGAGCGTCGCGAAGTGCACATCGTCCTCCGGGCAATACTGGACGTCTCCGCGGTAGCTCTTCTCGATCTCTTCTGGAGTGAGCGAGTCGTACCACACACTTCCGTGGACACCGTGGAACTCGTCACGCTCGTTAGCGAGAGTTTTGAGGAGCGTACTGCATCCTGCACCGGGGCGCCCGAGAACGACTGTCCGGTGGAACATCGGAAGTCAGCATGCGTCATGATAAAGCGCTGGTAGGAGTTTGAGGGCCTCTTGTAATAACCGCAGTGTATGCGAGCCAATGGAAACAACCGCTCGCGTGGACGCAGCAATGCGAGTGGTCTGATACGCCCCTGACAAACGCTAGCGCAGCGCGCCACATGAACTGTAAATGAACACTTACGCAACATCTCTCCAGGTCGCACAACGCCCTCGAATCCGCTGAGGATATCCCGGGTAGCAGGATGCAACGCATCCCGTAGCTCACGGATCGCATTGAGTGGGTTGACTGTTGACCCGAATGTCGACTGATAGCTGGACGCGGCCCCGACGCCAACAACTCGAAGATCTTTGAAGGCAACTCCGAGCTCCCTCCGCTTGATGTCCGAGTCGTCGATCCTGCAGGAGTGAGCGTATTAGTACTGCTGCGCTCCTTAGAAAGCAACGGAAAGGTCGGCCCAGAACGTGTACGCACTTTCTGAGAAGACCACGGAGCGTCTTCTCGAAATCAAAGGGACCGTCCGGCGACGCCAGTGTGTCCTCGGTCAGGACAGAATTGGTGCTCTGCTGCGTTCCAAATCCCCGCGAAGGTTTCTCTGAATCGATGTGGGGCTCCGCATGTGTCTGTGACTGTCTTGAGAGCGTGCGACGGAGCTGGGCGACACCCTCCGGGTCGAAGCGGTCTATGCTGACGTGCGAGCTGGTGGACTGCTGCCGGGTGAGCGGAGCACCATGGTACTCGGGATGCGAAGTTTCACTGGGGACGTCGTCAGAGGAAGGGTGGGGGTGGATATGGTTATGATAGGCGGCATTGCCATATGCGGCAGCTATGTGGGTGGTACCGAGCAATTCAGGAACACGGTCGTGTCCCTCGATGTCCTCGAGCTGGACAGGGTCGAGTCGAGCTTGGTCGGCGGCCATGGAGGGAGGGGGAAGGGAAGAAAACAAACTGGGTTCATTCGGGAGCGGGGCGGGTAATATATGATATCGGCGCTCGAGGACGCAGGCTGGAACCGCCGGAATGTATGAGCACGATTGGGTTCATGTCCGGCAGTGGTGCTGACGCGTTTGGTTACGATTGCGATCTTGACCGACCACGGCCAAGGGTTGGCGTTGCAGCGCCTCGCCAATCCAGATCAGATCTACCAGCCGACCCCGGCCCTTTTACGCAATTCGTCTTTCTGAACGAGACCCTGAGCGCATGTGATAAGCAGCGGTGCTGCTGACTCCGCTTAGTCGTCAGCGATTTCGTGTTCACCAACCTCACCGCTGCTATCGCACGGCATCCATCTTCACCCTACGGAACTGCGGATCTGCATCTCCGGGTGAGAAACCAAGTATTTGTGCATTCCTCTGAAACCAATCACTTACCATCGACAGCGATACTCTGTCCCTAAACCTGCGATGGCCGGCGACAGAGATCGCAACAAGGCATGCCCGAATCCACGGACGGCGACTATCGGACTCGATCCATTGCTAACTCGGGCGCTGACTGCGACGAACGTACTTGTCGACAAAGTAAGCCTTGCGATAGGATGAAGCAAGTAATGGCTATGTAACATCCATGCCGGAGGAGGGTTTGGTGGGAACAAAAGTGTGCGCGGATATCTAAGCGAGTTAAGCCGCCCACCTGCGGGATTTCCGCGATGTTCGGACTACAGAATCGGTAAACCTTCCTTCTGCTTACTCCACGACGCACCCCGTCAATCGGCTTCTGTGAGTCGTGTCCGCCATTCGATACAGGATGTACCTCTTCTTGGCTCATTCCTTGGCGCACCGAGCTCTCATCGATACACAATCGTAGTCGTCACTCAAGCAACATAGCAGATGGCCCCGTCTTCATTGTGATCTGTCCAAGCTGTATTATCCGAATCCCGTACCGAGTAGGCCGCTGCGATGTTCGCGTCTGATCAGTACAGTAACGGAACTGCCATGCCGACAACCTTTTTCGCGTGCTACGCTTCACAAGGGGGCCGTCGCAGTGCTCTTAGCTTCTGCTGTGGACGGCATTGCAACATCTAATGATTAAAGGTGCAGACGCAGTATCCCCTCCGTCATGCTCGGGCTCGTTGTGTTGCAGTTAGCGGCGCTCCGAAATGCTATGATTCGCGGGTTGGAAGGCGCACGGAGTCCGATCAGTGAGAGCGGCCAAGCGACAAGCCCCGGTGGTCCACTTCACGGAGGCAGCTGCGCACGCGTATCGCAGGCTTCGGTGTAGGTGCGTTGTCACGGTTGTATATGTACCGCATACGAGTACGGCTCTATGGCATCGTACGATCGTTATGATGTATTCCCGTGACGATCGGCGGGGCGTATCGCCCACTACGAGTACAGCATGGAAAGCTGCCACACGCTAATGTCCGTCTCAGCTCGACGTACGCTCGCGCCGACTGAGGCAGGCACACAAATGCATATTTAGTAGACTCGTCTACAAGGGCGGAAGAACGGCGCGGCAGTCGCCTCTCGTCCATCTGATAAAATCCGCCATGCGATGACGTCCCACCCACAGGCATTCCGCAGTCGTCCCCTATGTTGTCCTCCTGGCTCGACGGTACGTGAATCTCTCTTACTCTCGGGCCCCAGGCATCCGACGGTTTTGCTTATCCCTGCGCTAATCTGGCTCGACATACGCACCCTCATCACAGTTTCTGCCCCAACAGATCAACGTGGGCGATGAAGCAGTGCTCCCCAACGCATTTTCGGACGCAGCACGGAAGCGACTCTGCATTCACATGTTATTGGTGAGTGGCGACAGTGCCCTGAACACGCAGAAGGCTCGCGACAACCCTGAACGGTGCTTCGTAGAACAATCAGACATTGGATACTGTGATTGTTGGGCAGGGTCTCTGGTAGATTCTGGAGCAACTCGCTGGTATACCCTATCTCGACTCGACCCCGAGCGTCGTCACAAATAAAGCGCACTTCACCGTTCGCCTGTTTGGTTTTCCCAGCGAGAAGCATGCCGTTCCTCCTTGGATACCAACACGGCAGGCCTTCCGACGTTTTCGACCAGAGAAAAGTTGACGAAAAGGAGAGGCGCGAGGCTAACTATTCGTGATAGCGTGGCTTTTTACGAACAAAGGTCTTCGAAAAATGGGACAAACGGGGGCGCGGTTGCCCTCCTTCTCATCGACTTCTCTGGCCGAAAACAGGGGAACGCCTACCGTGGAAGCACACACATATCCAGGGCAGGTACGTATACCCGCATATCGGACGGCATCGTCAGCCTCGACCGAATGCGCCAATCACCGAAATCGTGGCAATCCGTAGGGGAAGCAATCGGGGCGGGTTCAACCTCGCTACCCACTGCCTGCTTCCTCGCACATCCAAGGTTCGAGGAGCGCCCCCCAATCTCCCCCGTCTCGATGGCCGCCCCGGCGAGGGCCCGACATCATCGTCCCACTTACAAATTCCCGCTCCCACCCCGTGTCATCTCCATCCCTGCGCCACTGCCGCAGACGAACCTTATGGTCTCCAGACCTGGGCGCGAGCGCCCCGACAGCCTGCTGCCGCTCTAACGGACACGTTTGCGTGTTCAACCGCCCCCCGCTGAGTCATGCGGGCGGCAAATGCGCTGCTGCGCCCGTTTGTCTGAAGGGAAGGGGCCAGGGCATGCAGGCATATCGCCGCTGGTGACCCATTACTGTCAGCGACATCCAGTACGAAGCACCCGGAAATTATCGTCACCGTCGTACTTGCCGTCCATTTACTAGCAGTCTCGATCGTTTAGTCAGGCCTGCCGATGGAGCGCTCAAACGGGTTTCCGGGCATCGTTGAATATAGGTCCACACGTTCGTGCATAGCCGATGGTCGTACAGCCCAGCCAGAATACGTTTGCCTGTGGCACCATCGACATCCATAATTAACTTTGCCGCGGCGACAATCGTCGGCACAATCGTGCCTGCGCAACCTCTACTCACCTTCCTGATCAGAACAGTCGAGCCGCTCAAGCACGAAACTCTCGACTTCAATTGGGGAGTTGGTGTTGCATGAAAGCCCGCATACGCCACCGTCTTAGCTCTAGCCGACGCCGCGAAGGGACTGAACCACGCGGACAGGATGAATCAAAGAAAGTTCGCATCGGGAGTACGACGAAAACATGTTCTACTACGATAGGATATAGCAAAATACATGACTGTGGGTGGGTGATGCTAATGGTGATGAGAGGTTACTGTACGAGCGAGTGCCATATGACGACGACGACGAAAGTCCGAGTTGTCCATACTGAATGTTGATCCTATATAAGGAAACGGAAAGGACGGTGAAAGGGAAAAATAAAGTGTACCGATGCGTAGAGCGTAGACGTAACTGCAGCGTCAATAAGCGTCCGAATTGCAAGACGTGAACCAGATGCAACGATGTCATGAATCAATCAACCGGCGCGGGCAAGTAGCACACGGTCGATGGCGTCGTTGATGACCCGCTTGCGTGAGGAGAGGTCTTGACCAAACTGCTCCTCTAGACGTCGGCGGATCTCCCTTTTGGTGACGGTCGTCAAGTCGGCATGGCGCAGATGTTCCTCGACAGCGGCCTCTATCGCAGCATCTGACGGCCCGTCGAAGAAGTCCTGATCTTCTGGACTCCTTGTTGCCGGGATTTGGACATCAAGGTAACCCGTGGCAGGCCGAGAAGGCGTAGGCTGGTGGAGCACGCCTGGTGTGATCACCTGCGATAGCGGGGTGTTGCGCCCGGACTGGTATCCGGGTGGGGGATACATCATGTGCATCTGCATCTGCGATGGTGCCGGCGAAAACGCGCGGGACATGGCTGGCTCGTAGAAGGTCTCGCGACCATATATCGATGCGGTCTGCGATTCAGCATAGCCATCGTTGTGCATCTTAGTTGGAGGTACCCAAGAACCAATGCTGTGGTTCGATTCCTTGTCCCAAAGTTCGTTCTCCTATAGACAGACGTAAGTGGAGAAACGCATGACACCAGTGACAATATACGCACGTAGTCATTCCAAGACTTGAGGGGAATGGAACGGGGGTCAAACTTGCCCTCGTCCTGTAGACGACAGTCAGACATCGCATGCCAGTTCCGAAAAGGCAGAACACTTACGTGGACGATCATCTTCTTGCCCGCCTCTCCCAGGACGACACGAGTCTGACCCCAGGAGAAGTCATCCATGCGCCAGAACGAGTAGAGGGGAAGGAAGAACGAAAATATCGGGATGGCCAGGATATAGAAGACCATCCAACCAATCATATCCCATTTGCGACGAAGGATGAACACCAACGCCTGCAAACCGTAGACCGCAGCGATCAGGACGATCGACAGTATAGGGATCTGGGCGTGTTCGCCGGCCGCAAGGTAGATGAGGTACACAATCTATCGAAGAAGTCAGGCATAGGCTGCAGGAGAACGTCACAGAATATACGTACGTAAGCGACAGTTACCGGCGCAATGATCGTAGAAAGGAGATCGATCATGACGACGAAGCGCATGGAGAAACAGCAGAAACCGCAAAGCTGATCCAAGAAGATGAGCTCGGCCAAGTTGTGCACCGTAGAGTTGATCCAACGCCGACGCTGGGACAGCAAAACCTTCCAGTCATCAGGAGCGACGGTATACGCATGTGCATCCCGAACAAACTGTGTCTTGAAGTTCGAGAAGTGCTTGAGTAGCAAGGTCGTCAAGTAACGATCTTCACCAAGATGGAGCAGGTTCTTCATGTGCAGGGTATCGACACGATTCTCCGAGTAGTCCCCAATGACCTGGTTGCTAATGAGGAGCGGCTTGTGGGTGTCGGGGGTACGCAGACGATACAGGGTGAAACAACCAGGCAAACAGGTCACCGAACCGAACAAGGATTCAAACGCCTTGGCCATGTGGTGCGAGATGAAGTACTCGTAGACCTGCATCATCGTGACGATTGACTGCTTCGCATTAGCGAGTTCCGTTTCACCACAGACGCCGAGCAGCTTCTTGTCGTGAACCATACTGGTTAAGGGTGAGCATATGGGATATTTTGTAGGAACAGTCGACTTACGCGGAGACCAGACGGTTCAAGGATAGAGGGTGGACAGTAGTATCGGCATCAATCGTGAAGACGTACTCGTAGAAGGTCGGGTTGACACCGATGACGTTCTTGATTTGATGGTACATCTCAAGCTCCAGGGGGTTCATCGGGGCGTTGAAGTGGACCTGGTAGAAGTTCAGCAAGCAAGCCGCTCATACAGAGAAAGCGGCCACATACCTTGTTCAGGAAGTGCATGAGGACCATCTGGGAGTCACGCTTACCACGATTGCCAGGGCGTGACTTCTCGCCAGGCTTGCCGCACTTGACAACCACGAGATACGGTACGACGTGACCGGCAATTTCGTACAGACCAGAGAAGACCTTGCCCATGTTGTGTTGCTTGGCACCCTCACCGAGGGAGAGGAAGCTGAGCGGCTCGGCGTCGACGTTGGGGTTCGCGCCGAGGACATCCAGTACTATACGAGGAGTGGGCATGTCGTTACCTGAACCGACGACCATACCATCACAGATGATGAACAGCAGTTTGCGCTTGTCGTCGTACTTCATCTGCGCGAGCGAGTCGATCGTCTTCTTGAGCGAAGCATGGCCCTCCGTGTAACACGGCACCTGGCAGATGACGAACTTGTCGTGATCCTCGGGCGCACGGGCTGCACTGAAGTTGACGGACGCGATGAACTTGAACCCAATGACGCTAACCATCATGATCGACAAGGCGAGCAGGATGTACGTTGCAAAAAGACACTGAGGCGAGTTACGGTTGTCGACCTTTCCGAGGAGGAATAGGTTCCGCATGCAGACGCGCTGCCGGTCCAAAGTGGCTGAGTCCAGATTAAGACGGTCGATCGCCTTCGTGACATCGCCGCCTGCATTGCGCTGGAACACGTCCACGATGGATTGGTGCATGAACTTCGTGTCGATGTTACCAGGAGCTACGGCGTTGTTGGGCAGAGTAGCGATAGCCGGAGGATTGCTGATGTAGGTCGTGAAGTCGTAAACAAGTCCTTTGTATATCGCGACGGAGCTGCCGGTGGAGGCCATAGACTTGATCTGCTTCGGGCTGTAGCCGACAAAGCCGACTCGGTAGTTCCAACGCAGCATGGTCATTTGCTCAAAGTACCAATCCGGACGAGGGTCGTTCGTCCAGGAGCGGAAGTCGTGGTACTGGGCGTTCTGATCCGTATCGTTCTTGGTTGTCAATACGACGTACGGGTTAACCGAACCAGAGATACCGTTGCACAGAGCGCTGACCTGGGAACACGGTCAGCTACATGCACGTCTGATGTCGAACAGAGACAAACCTGGACGGGGAAGAGATCATCGGCCTGAGTGCCCCCATAGTTCAGGATGGACTTCGAAGGAACCACGCTGACGGTACGCTCATGGTTCGCCGCGATGCCGGTCAAGTCGAACACCTCACCACGGATCGCGACATAGACGTTGTTCGGGCTGTTCTTGAAGGAGTGACCATTCAACTCCGCGGTGTTGAAGACGTGCTCCGTGGGACAGATGATGGGCGAAATGAAGACGATGACGAAGACGGCGCAGGCACAGACAAACCAGATGATCATGTTAAGGGCAAGCTTCTCTCGCCACGCCTGCTGGACGTCCAGACGCTTCATTCGTCCGACGTACCTGAGCAAGAAAGTGGGACACCAGAAGGTGAGCATCCAGCACAGCGCCACCCAGCGTCGGCGGGCCGACGACTCCTTGAGAACCTCGGCAGTCTCGCCCTCCTGAACCTCGCCAGCAATCGCTTCCTTGTCGAGGAGACCTTTCGCGTCGGCGTTCTGGAACATGTTCCGCGAGGGTGCGTAAGACTCCGTCCCGAAGTTGGAGACGGAGCCGTCATCGCGATGACTCGTGTAAGCGCTGCGGCCGTCGAAGTCGTCGCTACGCAAGGACTTGCGCTCGTCATAATCATCATACATGTCGGCGCGTTGGAAAGGAGAGGCGTTGGCAACGAGAGGCAGCTGTTGGTTGGACGAATTGAAGGGGTCGCCGTAGTCGCCGGCATACGGGGACGTGTCCGCACCAGGCACCTGATAGGGTGCATAAGGGTCGCTCAACCCGCGAGGGTCAAGACCAGCCTCCGCCTCCGCATCCCGGATGCGGTTACGCTTCTGCTCCTCGGTATCCTTAGATCGTAGATCGTCCTCGAGACGGCGGAATGCGGCTTGGGACAAGAAGACCTGTGAAGAGATAAGCCAACACTCCATGGAATAGTACATGTAACCTACCATAGACATCCCGAGAACGACGTCACGCTCCTGCAGACCCAGTGCATTCCTACTCTGCTCGACCTTAGCGCGCGAGTCGCCCTCTGTAACTCCCAACGAAGTGAGCAGGGACTGGTACCGCTGCACATACTCGTCGGGGGTCATCATCGCCTCGAAGACGTTCACATTCCGGCGCGCGATCTCCGACAGTCCAACGCTCCGCACCTGCGCTTTCACCGATCGGCCCTCAAGCTGGTTCGGCAACTGCGAGTCGTTCGGGTTGATGCAGAAGATGTACCACGACTGCGTGTCCTCGAGCGTCTCGAACAGCACGTCCAGGGCTTGCCTGAACTCGCCTGCGACGCAAGGTGCGCCGCCCGAGGCGGGGCCTTCATCCTCGTCCTTCTCCTCGATCTCGCCCTCCTTCAGCGTCGGCATCCGCTTGATGGTGTTCTTGCGGCGAGTCGATGGGGCACGCATCGGCTTGACGGGCTGTTGAGCGGAGACAATGGTGTCCTCGTTGCGAGGATGCGCCTGGGTAGCAATCGCCTTCCCAGAGAACAAACCACGAACGAAGGGGTTCATAGAACCAGAGCCGTCGGCCGCGGGGGCATCCGACGTGCCGGCGGTCGTACCCCGGAGGAGGGAGACAAAATCGGGGTTAATCGCATCCAGGTTCTTCTCGAGGAAGTTCTGCGCGGAGTATGTGACAGGTCCACTGTAGTGGTTGATGGTGAACGTGGGGAAGCCAGAGCGATCCATTCCGCCGGACTTGAACGAGGAGTGGTTGGCCCAACGCTTGGTAATCGCCTCGACCATCGTGTGGTCGGTCTTGCGTGGCATCCTACGAGCCTGATCGTCCATGATGTGGATGAGGCCACCAGGGCGGTTCTGGAGTAAGCGGATGCATTCGGAATTGTCGAAGTAGGGAACGTGAGGGACGAAGCGCGAGATACCCTCGTTGTTGTACTCCTGAACGTGCGACTCGAAAAGGCGCTTCTGCATGAAGTTGATGAGGCGCTCGTTCGCAAAGTTGATGCAGAACTGGTCGAGGGAGTTGGGACGGCTCGTCATATTCTGCGGGCCAGGGAGATCAAAGAGGCCGATGAAGGTCGTGAAGTCGTCACGGCAGAGGCGCTGATTGATGTGCTCGTTCAGCCAGGCGAAGAGGAGAGAGTAGAGCATGCGGGCAAGCTCGTCCCTGTTGTCGGAAGCACCATCGGGGTCAAGGAAGACCGTGCACAGCTCCTTCTTGACGAGCTTCGTCTTGTAAGACAAAGCTGCCTCCAGAGCACTAGGCTGAACACCCAAGAACTCTGAGACGATCTCCAGGACATCCAAGTTCCGAACAACGGCAGCATCTTCGTTACGAGAACGGTCGATGGTGAACTCGAGGTTACCGAGATGAAGGATAGCGGCGATGAGCTGACATGTCTGGGCAACATGCCTCTTCGAGAAGCCGACATTCTTGAGTGCGACCTTTAACTGCTCGAATCGAACGGCGTCCTCATTCTGAGCCTGGTTCGGCCCACGGCCTCCTGCGGGTACACGTGCTCCCAGGTACCGATACTGCGTCCTGTCCGAGAGGTGCATGTGCGTACGCTCCTCCGCCGACGCACCTGCGATCAGATAGTAGAAGATGTGAAAGTTGCGCTCGCCGGATGGCGCGCCGGATACGCGACTACGCTCGAGGTAATAGTCGAGGGTCTTGACACCGCATATCCGCCCACGTTCCGTGAACTGGAGCTCGGTGTACTTGCCAAAATGAGAGGCATTGGGATTGAAGAGCGTGCGGGAGTTACCGAACGTCTCCAAGACAAACTCGGCGGCAGGGACCTGGTTGCCGAGCTTCGAGCCCTTCTTCCCAGGCTGGCTGACGCTGAGCTCGAGAAGCGTCTTGATGGCCAGTCTACGATTCTCGGACTTGCCACTACCCGTCTCACCACTGTGTACAAGAAGCGTAAGTCGTGCGAACTAACTCCGAGATTACCGATGCAAGGATATCGTGCGGATCCCAAGGAATACTTGTCTATGATTAGACCCCTGGCTGACGCACGGAGCATTTCTGATACACACGCCTTTTGCCACGGTTCAGGCCAATCCCCGCACTGTGGAGGAACGCCGTACAAGGGTAGTGCAGGTCCATGCCTCTCCGAAAGCGGCTCGCGTCATGACAAGACACACCTTCGCCACCGGAGAGGTCGGAATTTACGGACACGGGGATTGGGGAGACAGAATTATGGAAAACACGTACGTGAAGATGACCGACTGGTCCTGCTGCGTCCTTCGCATGTGGTAGTAGGCATTGTTGGCGAGCTGGAAGATGTGGGGCGGGAGGCGGACTTTGTCGGGCGAGGTATCGCGGTACTCGGCCGCATACTTGTGGAGGACCGCGTCGGAATTACTGGCAACATACTTGTGCGGGTTTACTGCGACGAGAGCATTGGTGCCGATGTTAGTGTAGATGTTGTCTGTCATGAACCGTTCTCGGATGCAGGAGACGATGATGTCCTCCGAGATGGGCGAGAGCGTTGCAAGGTCCGTAACGGACTCAAGCTGTTGGAGCAGCGTGGACTGTCGGTGAGCCATGATGAGAGCGAGTTACAGCACCGAGGTGCTCCCCCGCAGTGGTAAAGGAGCTTCCTGGTGGTTGAAGGAAAGGAAAGGAGAGAGTGAGAGGACGAGCGTCGCCGCCGTTGGTAGGCAGTGTGAGAGCTTGGTGGCAGATGCGGGCGGCCTCGTTGCTGTTCTCTCGTTTCGGCTGGCTTTCAACTTCAAAGGCGGAGGTCAAACCTGGGAGCTACTGTAGCACTGCTCCTCGGGTATTCAAGCTCCGATAGCTTCACACTCATCTATCCCAGTTCTTCTCCGCTACGACTCCGTTGAGCCGTCTTAAACGTTTAAACCTCGACCTCGAACTTCGTCCAATTGCATCATGGTCAGACCTCGCTCTGAGCTGAGTTATTAACGAGACGTACATTTGTGCGTACACAATGCTCGCAATCCAGCCTCTTTTTGCAATCAAGACACGCCGACACCGCAGGCGACGCCTGGGGGCTCCATCCAGAACTATGCAGATCCCCGCCCACATCGTCCAGACCCTTCGCGCGCGCCAGGCTGTTCTCTGTGTCAGGATGGCCGATGTTAGCACTAGTGCTGAGCACGTACCTACGCTTGTAGTCAGATGGGAATATGCGGAGCTAATGACAATTGATTACTCCAGCATCGCGGTCTGCATTGCCCGTGCAAGGGAGTCGTAGACAAATGCGCAGTACAGATCACGGGCGTGCGAGCGCTGAACGGCCAGATCGTCCTGTCCAGTGTCCGTTGCACTGCAACATCGGCCATGCCATTCAAGGAAGCACCTAGCATCTTGTGCAACTTCGACTGACAACTTCGACGCCTCTCCCACATCTTCACGATGTCCGTGCCATTCAGACTGCCGTTCTCGCGCGCTCACTATCGGAGATGACAGCAATTCAACAATCAGGACGTGCGTGAGGACGCAGTGCAGTGCACTATACACCTACGTCGTCTTCAATACCACATAAGTGCTTACTTCCCGTAGGTTGCCCGGTATAGAGGAGACTTAACACCTCGTGGTATCACGCGCTTCGAAGAACGGTTCGAGGTCATGACATCCGACAATTGGACACCGTCTTGCGGACGATACGATCATTCTAGGGGGTCTAGGGTAGCTGAGAGCTCTACCTCTCGTCAAGGGCCCTGTCGCAGCTTAGTGTGATGATAACATGTTTAGGTAAGTAGAAGTACACGAAGATTGATCCAGCTGACGGCCATCTACTACCTTACCCGCAACTGCCACTGGATACTGAGGCTGCAACCTACATACATTTTCAGTACCTAAACACTCCGCATTTCGTCGATGCAACAGCCAAGGCAGCCATATCTATTTGGTCACTCGTCCATCGTAGCGCGGGCCTCGGAAGCATAGGAGCGTATGAGTGCCTCTGCGGCCGCGGACCTGGGCCGAACAGTGCAGCGCATATCCTCGGGATACCTGGAAACCTTCCGTTCATAAACGCGCACAGTAATCTCAAACGAGACGCGTACGAGTTGAACCCATCGGTCATGCTGTATTCGACCTTAATTGGTTTTCCATCAGCTCCTAGCGGCGGGGTGATGTCGAAGACGTGCAGGGCTGATGCGACATTGATGAATAGCGCGGCTTCTCCAAAGTGACGGCCAGGGCAAATCCTACATGGGGAATTGAACCACGGATTCAATCCAATCCGACGACGTAGTGGACTTACCGTCTACCATAGCCGAATATGAACGTCGTCGGGTCGCGAACGGTCAGATCCAGCTTTCCATCGCGGATGAATCGCTCAGGGCGAAATTGATCGGGATCCTCGAACACAGCGGGATCTTGCATGCAAGCCCTATCCACTCTTTTAGCCTCTGAACCTGAGATGTACATATCTGCACTGTGAAGCTGAGCGTACCAGGTCGCAGGCAAGAGCAGGGTGCCAGCAGGGATGAAGTAACCGTTCAGCTCGTCGTCTTCCGTGGTTGCATGAGGCACGCCCAGAGGAAGAACGACGTGCCACCGCATAGCTTCCCTAATGATGGCGTTGATGTAGACCAGAGAACTCCTGTCGCCGAATTCCGGGAGACGGTGCGGACCGACAACGGCATCAAGCTCGGCGTGGGCTTTCCGCAAGACATCGGGGTAGAGGGACATGGCCAGGAAGACGGACTGTAGCGTAGAATAGACCTGGTGATCTCATCTCAGCAGCGGTCGCTTAAGCACGTAGATACTACACGCACTGTATCGGTACTAGCTGACGGGGTTGTTCTAATCAGCCATAAATGTCCGATCTGAGAAGTGAAAAGGCGAATACCTTCAAACGCGACCATGCCTACATTCATTGTAGTCTCCTCGTCCTGCGGACTCATCTCTTCAGATTGAGAGAGCCTCGAGATTAGCTTCGCTATGATTGATTGTGACGCGTTTCCTTGTTCCTACAGCCGGATTGGACAGTCATGATCAGGGGCGCTGACTTGGAGACCGGGAGAGCAACTGACCAGCTGTGCCTTTGTAAATACATAAGGTGTTTCCGTCATCCTGCGGCCCGCGGCCTGCCATTTGGCCCACAGTTTCGGCGATCGTGAAAACGGGATCCAAGGCTGAACATGGCGTAGGAAAGGCAGATATTCGACAAGGAATCTGCCAGAGGGCAAGCCGTCCACCACCCCTTCGTGCCCCGCTTCAACTATACTGATAAACGGGTCGGTCTCGTCCTTGGCCTTGATACCGTACGCAACCTTCAGAATACTGGATGCAAAGCCGCTATAATGACGTCGGAGCATGAGCATTCGGCCTGAGCAGTACGTAGTTGAGATGCGGTGCGTACAAGCGAATGAGCTTCACGAGCCGGCTAGGGTCATCCAACACCCTCTCTAGGAACCTATGTGCACTTGCGCGTTGGATAGGCTGGTAGTCGACGATCGCCTCTGGATAGAAACATTGCCAGAAGGCGCGTTTGTGACGACGCCACTTCTCCCCGTAGGGCATCTGTGCGAAGCTAGCGCTTTGTCCGGTCCTGTATACCGCTAATCAGACCGCCGCGTTTGTGGAACTGCACAGTGCAATCTCACAGTTCAATCATCGGGGATCGGTCTCGGTCCGACGTATTCGCAGCCCTCTTTCCAAGGTACTCTTGCACAACTTCCGCGCTTCCGAGGACGACGGTGGATTTTCCGAAGCTCCGCAGGTGCACGATGTCACCTAGGAGCATACGGACGATATAAGATAGACTGAAGGACGTTCTGCACAGGTAGTACTCACCGTATTGCGCACATAGATCGCGATACGCTACCCAGGGATAACTCTTGGGCATATCAAACAGATTCCCGACGATTGGCAGAGGCTTCGGACCTGGAGGAAATGGTAGGCCCCGAGTACGCGCACGCCATTGAGCGAGGGAGCGTATGTACAAGAAGAGTAGGGAGACGATCCCCAAAACAGCCGCAGCGGCGAGAGTCGAGTGAGTGTGGCTCTCCATAGGTGGGGGGAACTACACTGATACTGCGGTGCGACCTGGGGAACTGCAGTCTTTATAGAGCGTGCAGGAAGTTCAGAAGAGTGCAAGCACAAGCACACACTCGCAAGGTCATCTCGCTGACGGACTGACTTAGTAAACAGCGTTCCCTGGACGTGGATGCCATTACGAACGGTTATCGATCCTATCGACCGCATACGGGACACCACCCACGCAATGGACCTGAGGGTTGTGCCCCTTGCTGACGTGGTCGTTGAGGAGGACGTTGAAAATATGTATAGTGGTCACGTCTGGCGACCTTTGTGGTTTTAACATTCAATAAAGATGGCTCCAGGTTCGTGAACTCACCTCAATACCGCTTGCCCTGGTGCGGTGCGACACCACATTTGGCCAATCGACGCACCATTCCAAATTGCAGCCGAGGCGAAGCCGAGGAAGCCAAACGTTCTTGTTCTGGATGAACGCTTCGTGGGACAGCAGGAACGGTTGACTTTACGCGTGTGGGATCGCAAAGGTATTGAATACGAGACTGTACTATCCGGTTAGATCACGACAAAAATTCGAGTGTTCTTACGTTCGCAGAGTACTTCGACTCCACAGCGTACGAATGTGACGTAACATAGAAGAAAAACCAGCTCTAGCGATCCGAAAGGTAGACACGGGGTCGGCCGTGTCGCCAGCATGGTATACATCGTAAGTACTCTTATTGGACGCGCACTCATCAAGATTGACAACGCGTCTTCGAGCCCAAACCTAGGCCCGCCTTCCGGGACGATGCGCCGCGTATAATTTCGATGGCGACACGCGCCAGTCAAGCTAGTACGTATCCCAGCTGAGTGCGAGTGGCATGAACAGGGGGAAATACGGATTGCAACGCAATTCGTCACACTCGACTTAAGGCCCCAGACGACGGCGAGTGTTATGTCAGTCGAGAACAGAAGGCGCCGGAGAAGTAAGCGGGCCCCGGGAAAGGATGGTGTCCCTTTCGAAGTCTCCAATCAGAAGCTCGTGAGGAGAAAGATGAAACTATGACTGACGATGGCATGGCTAAGGTTCTCGTACCTGCTTCACGGTAGGCTATAGATTCCGAAGCATGATTCCAAGGTTTCTGTCTAGGAGGAAGAGGAAGGCCATGAGTGCATGCCTTCTCCAAGGATGAAGGACTGCAGATAGATGAATGAGGAGCAGGAGCAAGAGGAGCCCAGGTGCAGTGATCATTGGATAGCTTTGGGACATCCGAGCGGGGCCGCTCATGTCGCACGATTCCAGAGGCGGACAATCAATGCATTGATGTGGTCCGAGAGTGGGCTTCTAAGCGCATAGCGCACTGTTCGGTTGATCTGAGGGATCAGTGTGAGGGTAGGGTACTCATCTATCCTGGATGGGATTCAATTCATGGCAGTCCGCAGTGAAGAAAGTCGACACAGATCCTCGATGTAGTGGCTGTGTTTCGATGGAGCCCTCGGACACCTCCTTTGGCAATATAGACGCTCACGAGATTGCTGTCGTAAAAGCAGGCCCAAAGTCGTCCTCAACCAAAACAACGTGTCGCCTAGGTTTGTTCTGACAGCCATATAAGCTCATATCCACACCACTGGTAGTGAGATGGCCTAGCCGGTTTCCACGTACAGCTTGTCATTCCCACATCATACGTTCACGAGACCCAAGGTTCGGCATATCAGTGGCCTGGCCATAGAGCTGGCCGGGCGATGGCACGTTCGTCCCTATCATTGGAGCTTCGCTTTCTCCTCCCACATGCTTCCTCCTCATCTCTGTCAAAATGTTGTCCCGAGATGCCTTTTGTGCCTTGATCAACGTGCTCGACGCTGCATTACTCGTCCCGACGCCCTGCGTTCTGTCAAATTGGGCACCCGATAGCATTTATGAACGTTCTTAGCGTCAATGGACCTCCGAGGATCCCGCTCGCTCCTTCGACTCCGAGCCACACTCCAACATGTCCAAGACTGACTCGGGCGATAACCTGGCGAGCGAAAAGTCTGGTCCCGCAAAGGCGGCCAGCACTGGCACGCGCCGCCCTCTTATCATTGGAGCTGCTGTAGCGACAACCGTCGTCGTCCTCGCGCTCGCTCTCGGACTAGGGCTTGGTCTCGGATCGAAGCACCACCACTCCTCTTCGAACTCTTCCTCGGCCAATGGCACGGGAAGCCTGGCGGTAGTCACTTCCCCCGACTCGAGCGCGGCCTTCTTGTCTGCGACATTGCTCAACGATCCCCCGACAACGCGCACGTACGACTTCGTGGTAGAAGAGCGCACGGGTTTCCCGGATGGTGTAGAAAAGCGCATGCTCGTTGTGAACGGCCAGTTTCCCGGGCCGACCATCGAGGTGAACACCGGCGACCGCGTCGTGGTCAATGTGACGAATAAGATGTCTAATGCCACGTGAGCACTTTCGGACATACGATACGATACCAGCCTGACATTTGATGCGATTATGAGGACTATCCACTGGCATGGCCTATTCCAGCGAGGCACAAACTTCTACGATGGGACCGACGCAATTACCCAGTGCGGTATCCCGCCCGGTCAATCCATGGTCTATAACTTCACCGTGAGTATCCAACGCGGGGCAATCATAAGCCTGTCTGAATATATCCTAGCTTGACGGCTACGTGGGCAGTACCTGGTGGCACGCTCGTAGGTCGTTTCCCCTCTGCTCTCCCCAAATCTCAATTCCTTAGCGTATACTCTTCATTGTAGACTACATGACGCAGTACACTGACGGGATCGTCGGCGCGTTCGTCGTCCACGCAAAGAACGAGTCCGTTCCCTCTTACGACGGCGACCTCGTCATCCAAATGTCCGACCTCTACCACGGCTGGTCCCCTGACCTCCTCGCGTTCTACTTCACCCCAGGAGGCATCGACGGCACCCCCGGCAACGAGCCCGTCCCCGACGGGGGCACAATCAACGGCATCGGGCAGTACGGCGCCTCTGCCAGCACCCCGAACGCGTCTTTCTGGAACGCGACCCTCGAGCCGAACAAGACGTACCGTCTGCGGCTGGTGAACACGGGCTCGTTCGTCGCGATGCAGTTCGCGGTCGACAACCACACGCTGACGGTCATAGAGGCGGACGGGACCGCCGTGACGCCGTTCGAGGTGTCGAGCGTGTCCGTCGCGATTGCGCAGAGGTATAGCGTGCTGCTGAGGACGAACCAGACTGCCGGCGCGTACTGGGTCCGGGCTGATTTGGATCAAACTGCGTTCACGGTGAGTTGCAGCATCTATGACGTGGGAGGGTCTCGTGTGCGAATTGTGCCTTTTTCGTGGTAGTACAACAACCCGGGCGCGCAGACGGAGGTCCGCGGGGTTATCCGCTATGGGGTCGCGAACGACACCATGCCCGACTTCTCCCTTCTGGACAATCCGCCAGCCCTCCCGGATGGCTCGCCTTCCGAATTGGACACCAGCGACCTTGCTCCCGTCGGTGGTGGTCCCGCGCCCGATGCTACCTTGTGAGTATATGGGAGACGTATAGCGGTATCACAACAGCGTGGCCTCATGACCCTCAACAGCCAAGTGTACTTCACAATCTCCATGCAGTACGCGAACACCGGGTCCGACTACCTCTCGAAGTTCCTCGCCTTCATAAACAGTACCGTACGTCACTCCCTTCACCAAATTCCACTCATATACGTACTCACGACTTCGTCTCGTCTTAGTCCTGGCAGCCACTCCAAGGCACTGCGAGTCTCTTCTCGCACCTGGGCAACGTGACGACAGACGGCTCCGCGACCTTCGCGGACTCGCAGCTGATCACGACGGTCGACGAGCAGCATGTCGTCCAGATGGTGATTGACAATCTAGACGACGGCGACCACCCGTTCCACCTCCATGGCCAGAAGTTCTGGATCGTCGGCCAGGGTGACGGGCGCTTCCAGGGCCAGACGATCAACAACACGCTGCCTATGCTGTGAGTGCACATCTTCCGGAAACTCTTGTCACCTGGTCAGATTTTGGTAGACCACGGTACTGATTGCTTGGTGTGTGCTATGTAGGCGCGATACGCTGGTCATCCCCGCGTACACGCACGCCGTCCTGCGGTTCACCGGCGACAACCCGGGCTTCTGGGCCTTCCACTGTCACATCCAGTGGCATATGGTGAGTGCTGCTTCCCTCTGCAAGATACTGCATACCAGTGGCCAGGCGCTGACCGAACCCGCCGTGTAACCTCGCAGTCGGCTGGTCTGCTCTTCCAGCTCAACGTGCTCCCCTCGGAGAGCGCCAAGTTCGACATCCCGCAGTACATGATCGACCAGTGCAAGTCGTCATCATGAGCCCTGGCTCCGCAAAAAAGGGAGTATGATCTGATGTCGGTGTGCGTGCAGCTCGTTGTCAGTGGTGCATGATATCCCTGGGGCTCTGGTGCCGTTGTGCCGTCGTGATGTATATTGGAGCTTCATCGTCCATCCCAAATCGAAAATTTTGCATAGCTGAATTCTGGAAGCTGCTGATTCCAGTGTCGACCATTCGTCTTCGCGGTCGTACGCGCGCTCAGAGCAGTGCAGGTCGCGCACTCGAGATGCTCGGGGCTGGAGAGTTGGATATATTGTGTATTGTCATGCGGTGATGCGTGCATCTGGAACGAGACAACAACAGGTGTAGAAAAAGTACAGACATCGCCGACGAATGGTGAAGGCATGCCACGGACACCGACGGAAGGCGTCGACATGAGTGGAGGGATGGAGACTCAGACAAACGCAAGGCACTGAGGATAACTTAGCAGACATCCGACCTTTGCGTAGTAGCGGCGGCAAGGACTGGAGAAGTTGCGGCAGCCGAGACCGATGCAGGTCTCGGAGTTATACGTAGTTGGATACTGGGGCGCCGCAGGCCTATGTAGGGCCGAGCAGAGGTGTGCGGGTCAAGACTCGACCCCTTGACCCTCTCGGCTTGACCCCGGGGTCTGACTTGGGGTCTGACTTGGGGTCTGACCTTTTCGAGGGGTCAACACGTGATGCATGGTCGGCTCTCGCGTACTTAGAATAGTCGACCGCGTACTACCGGGAGCGCGGGCAGGGCGCCTTGCAGGGTGAAATTGCCCACCTCGAGCGAAGGCAGATGAAGACTCAGATGCCACGATGACGACGGGATATGCTAACTATGCTACACCTTGCACCTCTCTGAGTTCTCGCTGGTTTTGGAGGTGTTTCCCAGACACGCTCCTCTGGGTCGGCATCCATCTCCATTGTGGCAAGTCTCTCGCAGCGTTCCTGAAGGCCATCGGTTTCACTCCCCCGCTTATGGATGGCCGAGACATTGGACAGTTGGAAAGAAAAATTGGAACTGGCAAGAACTTGGCAATTAGAAGGCGGGTTCGTGGCCGCTGAAGGCGAGCCCGAGCTCGAGCAGCGAGCAGCGAGTGGCGGACGGCCGGCCGACCCGGCGGTTCACGTGCCCGGGAGCTCCGATGTTGATGTCGCCTTGGCTTGACCCAGGGTCTGACCCCAAGGGGTCTGACCTGGGTCAAGGAGGGGTCTGACCCGGGTCTGACCCAGCCGAGCACATGTCTGGGGCCGAGCGCGTTGTGGAAGCTGATGAATTTGGGGAGAGCGGGTTGAGCGCTGGCGACAGGCATCGCGGGCGCTTCACGCTCGCCTTCTCTTTATCTTTGACCTTGCGGATTGCGACCATACATTGTTCGTCGACTCTAGCGAGCATAGAACTACGAGAGCCTCCATGTGGAGTGCCAGATGAGGACGGTCACATCATAATGTCCGTCGACAGTTCAGTTGAGGTCTCCAATTGTTCGAAGACATATGGTGTGTCTTGGCCCGGGCCTCTTCGCCGTCAATCGTCTGCTCATCTTCGTCTGCAGGACTGTTTAGATGCTGCCAAACTTTGAAACGTGCTATCTTGTGTTTCCTTATTATTACGCGGTCCCGCTGTCGGTTGTCTTCAAGCCTTACAGCCTGGGAGTATTGGTACTTAGGTTCCGACGTTCGCCTTCTTCTTCCACATGCTCCCCGCATTTGAGTAGTTTCTTTCCTGCATTCGCACCAAATGACAGCCGTAGAGTCTATTTCAAGTCATTGGCATAGTCAGCCGTAAAGCTATCAAACACCCCGTTGCGTGCATGGTCAACAGCTGACTTCGAGAATGCAGCTGCCGGACTCACAGATCGGATGTCGGCCATATGCGCACCCAATGGACTCTCCAATATCAAGAGCAAAGTCGATGCACGTAGCAACAATAGAACGCTGCTTGCAAGCCAACATCGTGCCAACCACCCGTAGAGCCGGTATCCCAGCCCATCGGTAAGCCACCTATCATCCTGCCAATTACCTTATGCTTCTCGACGGATTCTTTATTACCTCACCCAGGAACAAGTGGGGTCCTGATGTACCTATTCCGCTGGATATATCAATCTTGTCTGCCGGGGTACATCTAGTTGTTCCCCATTACCCTTTCACGCCTCCGCCCACTGCAGCTGGGTCACTCTCCAGTGCAACCACGATGTCTCAGATCACTTACTTTGCCCTTGCATCTACGTTTATCTCCCTCATCGTTGTCTTCTATGTGCGCTCCATCGCACAAAGGAGAGCCCGCACTCTCGGTCGCCCTCTGCCTCCTGGACCGAAAACTCTTCCAATTCTTGGCAATATGTTCAACATGCCGCGCGTTAGACCGTGGATAGTCTATCGGGACCTCAGCCACGTGTTAGGTAAGCCACAGTCTGCCTATTGAAGTCTCGGCGAGCTCTGACCGGCGTCGTCGAAGGGGACATTATTCATCTCCGCGTTCTCGGACAACACATCGTAGTGCTCGGGAGTGCTCAGGCGATATATGACTATCTCGAAAAGCGATCCGCAAACACCTCTGACCGCGTGCAGTCACCCATGATTGAACTGTGCGTCCCCTTGTGCTACATATTTACTGCCGCAGATGACGCTATAGCTGGATAGATCTGGCGCAAGTTTCAACCTCGCCTTTATGCCCTATGGTCAGCGGTGGCGCCGTCACAGGCGCTCTCTCTGGCAGTACTTCCATCGTGAGGCTACGGAAGGATACAAGACGACGCAGCAGTCCGCCGCCCACATTTTCTTGCACGAGCTATGCGAAAGGCCCTCGGATCTGAGGGATATCATCCGTCTGTATGTCTATGTCTGCCATGATTGTCACTGCTTCCGTTGGCTCATCCACCGACATGGGCAGCAATTTCGCATCAGTCATCATGAAGATTGGGTATGACATTGCCGTACAGAGCAAAGACGACGCATACTTGAAGATAGCGAAGGATGCGCACGAGGGGCGTGCAGAAGGCATGGTCCCGGGGAGATTCTTGGTCGATTTCCTACCCTTCCTTCGGCACATCCCCCCTTTTTTCCCGTTCGCGGCCTCACAGAGACTATGGGTGAAGTGGAAAGCGGCAGGCGACCGACTCAAGAACACACCATTCGAATGCGCCAAAGCCAAGCTGGTATGTAACACAATGTTGATTTGCCATTGGTCTTTGACTCTCGCATGATTTCTCATCGTAGGCCAGTGGAGAGACTACACAGTCCATTGTGGCGAATTCACTCGAAAGGCTTAGCAAGATGGGTATTTCATCCCCAGAAGAGGAAGAGATCGTGAAGAATGTCGGGGCCGTGGCTTTTGAAGGTGCGACTATGATCTCTTCCGTGAGACTCGCCTCCATCCTAAGCCTTGTTCTCCGCAGCTGGAATCGACACGGTATATAGGTCATGTACTTCAATCAATCTGTTCGCTGAATCCTGCTCTTGTAGGTGTTATCCACGATGCTATCCGTGTTCTCCGGCGTGTCGCTCCATCCGGAGGTGCTCGCGAAGGCACATGCGGAGCTTGATGAAGTCGTCGGCCCCCATCGTTTGCCAGATTTCAGCGACAAGGATTCGCTGGTCTATATCAACGCAATTATCAAGGAAGCAATGCGGTGGCATACGGTGCTGCCCATGGGTGTCCCACATGCGACCGTCGCCGATGACGAGTTCCGCGGATACTTCATCCCTGCTGGGACGATGGTGTTACCCAATACTTGGTATGCACAAGTACATATTTACTCCTATCCCTGATCTTCACTGACCTTTCTTCAAGGGCATGCATGCACGATCCCGAGGCATATGAAGATCCAGACGTCTTCCGACCAGAACGATTCATTCGCAACGGAAAGTTGGATCCGACAGTGCAAGATCCGACAGCTTTCAGTTTCGGTTATGGTCGTAGGCACGTATATACCAGACTGTAGTAGTCCCATGTTGTGATTGATTGACTCAGCTGTTTTGCAGGATATGTCCTGGACGCTATTTTGCCGAATCCGCGTTGTTTATAAACGTTGCTTGCGCAATCCACGTCTTCGATATTACCCCGCCGCTCGGAGAGGATGGTCTACCTATCGAGGTCAAGCAGGGGCATACAGATGGCTTCATTTCGTACGTGCCAGGCGCATTCTGATAATGATGGTCTCATCTCATGAGTCTTATACAGTCACCCTGAGGATGTTCGATGCACGATCAAGCCGAGGTCTGCAACGGCCGAAGCATTGCTACGCTCTCATGCCACTTCTGCCCGCCAATCTTCGAACGAGGGAGAGCAAGTAACCCCCGATTGTTGATCTACGCTAGAACGGGGATTCTGGATGGCCGGCTGGATTTGCACAATGTGCAGCGGGACGTCATAGTCTTGCAGGCCTCGTATATTATTACGCACTGTATAGTATGGAGAACGCACTGGGTGAATGCATAGATCAACCGCCAAAGGACAGCGGAAAGTTTCCAAACATGGTGCTCGACTTTGAGGGCACTACCTCCCTACATCAGCAAAACCAGCAACTAATGGTCTGGCATGGTCACGGCGCCCGAAACCGGCCTACCCTGTCCGGAATCCGCAAGCGCTGCCTGAAACTGGCCAACTTCCGTCTCGCCTGACGGATTCTGGCCGTTGAGCATCTGCGCGGATGAATCCTGGCAATGGTAGATAGGCATACATCTTGCCCTGCTGATTCTGATCATTGACTTGTTATTGCTATCCGTTGCACCACAGCCGCCTCCCTCTCTCTCGAGCGCGCTCCCGATCATCCTCCTCTCCGCCTCCGCGCGTGCCGCCTCCAGGTCTCTGCGCTCCTCCTGCTTGTGCGTCATGCGCCAGGATTTTTGAGCGCGGATGTACACCTCTTCCT